AGACATTAGCAGCTTATTCACCTTATAAGAACCCGATCACCATCTGGAAACCATCTCTTTCTTCAATGTTTAATGTTTCCCCAAATTAAAATTCGTATTCTGAGATCCTCACATGACAATTCAAAAACAGCCTTTAGAGGATAGAGCAGTGAGATGGTCTCCACGGGAGTAATCCTCGTGGTGGCTGTCCAACACATTTGCGATGACACCGCTTTCTGTTGTTACGGACCTGCTGCTTCTTCGGCAATAAACGGCAATTTTTCGAGAATCAAAAGGGCTTGAGAACTTGACAGGACTACAGAGGAGACTTTGCTCTATTGCTCTTCAAATATGATAAGTACGCCATTATTTACTACATACTGCTATGCTCTACGACACAAGCACACTGCTGTCAGCACTTCGAGTATTTTGCGGCTTATGTTGAGCCTATCTGGGCATTTATTATACCGTCCCACTCATACAACTGTGATCCATTATGGCGACTAGAAATGGAATAACACTCAATTTCTAGGACAATTGCGGGTCATTGAAATCGTTCGACAAAATGTCTTCAGCATATTTTTAAGTGCAGCATGCCGCTTTTCTCAGCTTACGACTGGCATAACATCAGAGTTGGACAGCTTATCGACTGATTACAGGAAGCGCAGAGAAATGTGTATGTGCGCCAAAATAATCTATCAGAAGCAAAATAACCTCTACACAGTTCATACCGACAACAATCTTTCAGTAATTTATGATTCCCATGGAGGTGACGTCGTCGTGTACTTTTTAAACGAATATATGTGAGCCTAGGGGTCCACGCGGTGCAGTAGTTAATGATGTACTGCTATATACGCACGATAGGTCGCTGATTTGATTCCGCAGCCTGGGCTCACCAAACCCTCCACCCCTCCCAGAATGGGTAATTGGTACCAGGCTTCTATGAAAGAATAACAATAGTGACTCGATACATCGATATTCTACGGCCAGTCATCGTATAGGCGAGATATGGATTCAGTCACCTCTATATTGTCTGACGAAGTTGGATGCAAGGCATAGCCTTCAGTAATTGACCAATTCTTAATACTACATCTTCCTATCCCTTATCTAAGCCTATGCCAAACTTTATTGATTCGAAGTAAAAAACTGTTCTTCAGTGCTCTAAATCGGCAAAATTCTGATTTTTCAAGGCAATAAACGTAATCTCTTCTCCTATTTTTGTGGAAGTTTGGATTTCGAACACAGCAATGACTGAACAGTCCCGACTTTGCAGAAGAAAAGGTAATTTGCCCCAACTTTACATATTCGGCAACAAAGAAATGGTAATTTTCTTCAGACCAACAATGCTCTTTTGTCGAGGACAGTATTTCGAGCAGCAAATGATGAAACACTGAATAAGTGGTTGTCTCCGAACGCACCTTTGGTATTAGTAGATGCCGGTATTGCATAGAAAAGTAACTTTCTATTGTATGACTTTTTGAACTATAACTTTATGAAAAATGAATAAAAATCAACATGCCAGGAAATCTATACACACGATCGATAGGGCAGAATCTTTCCACAGGTTTGTCAAATCCTGAAGATTCAAGTACTGTATAGACAGAACAATTAACGGCAGTTATGGAAAATCAGTACCTACGTGAACATGTTGAACATGTAGATACTATTGAACAAGGAAGATGAAAAACGACATAAAAATAGGGAATTCGTGAAAACATAAGAATGTTCCAAGCATGAAAACAAATCAATGTTGCCATAACAATTAAAAATAGTACAAATTTGAAGAAAAAAATTACAACACATGATCGTCAGAATCCGAATTCTCTCCTCCATCTAGCAATCTGGAAGTAATATAAAGAATTTCAAGCATTTACGCGCACAAGTGTAGCAAATGTCAAATCTTCAGGAAAAATTTGACCACAATATCATTACGTACAAATTATTAATTATTTAATGACTGCCTCTTTTGAGTATGTGTTCACAGCACATAGACATTTTAAGTACTAATGAAAAGATAAACACCTGGGTCTCCTGTTACTAGATCCACTGATCATACTTGACGTTGACCCTAACAATGATCCCATCTTACTCGATATTACAGATAAACGAGAACTTGCTCGGAACACCCCAGTATCATCCAAACCACGATGAACGTTTACCTATAAAATATATGGTGTCGTTCACTGCAACGATTTCAACGAAAACGAAACTATTGAAATGATTACAGAAAGTCCAAAGCATGTTCACCTCGAAACGACCCGCTTCTAAAGCTTTTGCATGTCTCTTGAACTCACTGCAATATAAAGAACCATAAGTTGGTTTCCTAAAATTTGAACATTCCTTTGGAAATTTTGCAATAATCCGTTGATGCTTAAAGAGCGCACTTGTATGTTTTCAAGAGTAATGATGACGTCACAACAGAAACACTACTCAGCGCCATCGCTGCCGCAGCCATCCAAGGTTGTAGCATAAATCCAAACGGTCGAAATACTCCTCAAAAATCAAGCGAAAACAAAGTAACATACAAAATCAAGGTTCTGCGCATTTGATTTATATTAAAATAATTCGAACTCACCAGCAGCGATTGGTATACCAATTACATTATACACAACGGCAAAAAGAAAGTTCAGTCTGATTCTTCTTGTAGTTTTCTTTGACAGCTGTATTGCAGCCACAACGTCAATCAAATCATTCTAAATGAACAGTAAGAGCATCAAGTATTTATGAAAACGGTAGAATTGATAACGTGTGAAATAAGCAGGCATTTTAAAACTAGTGAAACTCACCCTCACAAGCACGATATCAGCACTTTCAATGGCTATATCGCTACCAGCCGCGATAGCAATCCCTACATCGGCCGACGCAAGAGCTGGCGAATCATTCACGCCGTCTCCTACCATTGCAACTCGTTCACCAGCATTCTTAAATTTAATTTTAGTATTCTTTCTTTGATGAGCTTACACGAGGTTGATAATGATGTTTAATTTAATTTTAGTGTCTCACGCAAAGAATAATGCCTTCGGCGCTGATCAATGTCTTAATAATGCGCCATGCACTTGACATTATCGAGTGTCGTAGAGGTGAATGAATGCGAATCTGACCAATAGAATGACTTGCCGCGGTCTAGTCGTGTATTAAGTTGATGGTACTATCCTTCCAGACAAGTTGGTGTTAACTTGTTGACCGATGATGGCCGGAAGGCATTGGCGGCTTGGTTGACGGAAATTGAATCAACAATTCTTTGTGTACTGCAGAGGATCTCTGACCGTTACATGCATTGTGTCATCCGCATTAAAACAAAACTGTTGGTGACCGCATGATTCCAAAGAGCACCGACAAGATAGCCTCTTGATCCTGTCGAGCCACTACTGCACAGTGTCTTCTGTTCGCTTTACGAACATGAATAGCATCACACTTTTCGTTTCCCTTCATTATTATTGTTTCTGGTGAGAAGGTAGCCAAAGGATGCCCACCAGTTTCTACCCTGTCATAGTTCTATTTTTATCTGCACGTTCTTGTGGAAACATGGAACAGTTTTTCAACACGGAAAACCACAATGAGCCCATGAAGCATCACACATCCTAGGAACAACCATCACCATAATGAGGCAGTAAATCACTGGAGGAATTTCAGTGGGCAAAGTAAACTATCCAATAAAAAACAAACAAACTTGTAACTGATGGATTTTAGTTTGCTTCTGGTTCGGTAGTACTTCGGAAAATACATCGGAGATGCCAACCTTTGAAAAACATAATATAAGAGTTCTGACGAAATTTTGATTCAGAAATTCACAATAAGATTTCAATACCAATAAAAAACAACGAACAACATACTTGTTTAGCTGTAGAAGCAGCTGTCTTAGAGTTGTCACCAGTTAACAGTACGACTCTCATTCCCATTTGGGTGAGAGCCCACACAGCCATAGATGCTTCTTTTTTAACTTGGTCCGCAATGGAAATCACTGACACGACATCTCCTAGAGAAAGATGCATGGGTGAAAATTATAATCCATAGTTTTAACTTTCGAAGTTAAAGTTAAAAAAAACTTCACTGGTCGTTTTGAATTTAATGACTCAATTAACCACTGTTACGCTTTGTAATGTAGAAAAACCTGCCATTAATGGCGCAGAGCACGGAAATATGCCCTTTTTGCTGTTCGTTGGCTATCACTTCAGAAATGACTTTGTCAACAGCTATAGAGTACCTTTCCATCATTTTTTCACTTCCAATAACAACCTCATAGGTATCCGAATCTTTGTTGGCTCTCGAGATGGGAATACACGACACCTCAAAACAGAGAGTAAATTGTTACCAATGTGTTATAGAGAAACGTGTTCCTATTAAACTCACCTGTTTATAATAAATAGAATCGAAGAGAACAATTTCTTCACCCTCGGAAAGAACAGGTGAGCTCATAGCTTTGAGTGAAGCGAGGGACTTCTTAACACCTGAGACTTTACAGGACACACCATGACCAGATGAAACATGGAACCGAGATATAGCTGCCCATACAGGCTCTTGCAACCACTGAAGAAATGAGAAGATATGTTGAAGAATCCCTATCAAAAAAAAACTTAAGCACGAAGAGCAAAGTACTTCTTTTACAATTTACCCAAAAATCGCGAAAACTGAATTTCTAGATATTCGAATCTCGAAAGGGCAGGTGAAGACAAATTTTAACAAATCCATTTAGACAAGCCTTAACACATCCACGTAGATAAGTCTTAACACATCCACGAGAATGCCGGGTTTTCGACAACTGCCGGCAATTCATTAGAATTGGAGTTGTTGAAGATTAGAAAACTTGGGAAATATGCAGAAGATCCCCAAAGGCATGTGCTGTTTTTTCCAAAGCATTTTCCAAAGTCTTTCTTTAAACTCTATTTCTACGTAACCTGACATCACACATTTTGCGGATCGTATCACTTCTTGCTTTCGAACCTTTCCCTAGAGTTCATCGTCCAAAATGATTTTCAGATTTGCGTGACGGTTCAGCTTCTTCTCGAGGACCTTCGTCTTCGCAATGAATGCCGATGATTGCTGGTCTGGTTGATTCTTCTTGAAATTCTGGGATACCACTGCTAGAATGGTCCCACGTGGATCTGAAGGAGTGAGCTGCTCTAAGATAGTCTGGCGAAAATTTCACGAGTTCGGAGAGATGCGAAGTTTGGTAGGCCCAGTGAGGTAAAAGGGAGCCTGAGTTGGCTGGATTTCGCTGTAACGAAGGGCATCACTGCACTGTCCTCTTAGCTTCTTAGCTAAACTCCAAAAAACGTTAACGCAATGAAAAATTAGTATTTCAAATCGAGTATGGCCGCTCTAATTCACGTCGAACCTGCTTTCCCGCCTATACAATTTCAAATCAAAGCAAATCATCACGAATGCGTTAAACAATGCATTTCTGGAAATGCTCTGGATACAGGTATTTGTGGGTAATCCAGCTGGTAGTCCGAAAATAACGGACTTTGGATAGAAAAGCAAAAAGTTTATGGATGAAATCAACTGGCCTGTTTAGCGAAAGTGGTAATGGCTGTCCCGATTGGATGTTCTGATTGTAGCTCTGCTGATCCACATATAAGCGCTAGCACTTGTAGTGGCATATCCTGTGGTGACCGCATGGTAAATATGGAAACCACTCGTGGTTTTCCTTCAGTAATTGTGCCAGTCTTGTCGAAAATCACGGTTGTAACCTCAAAATCTCAAAATAGAACAATAAAAGTGAGGAGTACGATATGGCTGAAAAACCTTATGCACAGACTCCAGAGGTTCTCCACCCTTGATGAGGACACCATTAGTGGCACCTACTCCAGTACCAACCATCACAGCAGTGGGTGTGGCTAGCCCGAGACTACATGGGCAAGCAATAGCTAATACGGTGATCGCTGCCTCGAATGCCACCTTCATAATACTTTCAAAACGGCTCGTTGCAGACTGAAAAGTACATTTGAATTTGAACTGGTTAGCACTGTACCAAGAAAGTATATTACACTGAGTGCAAATTTAAAAAAAACTTCACTACAGTAAGAAGCTAACTTTTACCAGAGCTATATACTCCTGTGACATATATCCGATTACTATCCACGCAAGGAGGGTAAGCAAAGCCAAAAAAATCACACAGGGGACAAAATAACCCGCAATATGATCAGCCATTTGTTGAATTGGAGCCTGAAGATAAACGGCAAAGGGTATTTTTCAACTTGCTTTTGGTCAGCCTTAAAAAAATCCCTTTCCACAAAGTGGGCATTTGTAAATAAGCCAAAAAACAGAAGAACGCTAACTTTGTTCGTCTGTGCTTCCTCGACGAGTCGTACGATTTGAGACAAAGTTGAATCCTGACCAACATGAGTTGCTTTTATGATAAGAACTCCTTTTTGATTAACGGAACCTCCAATGGCCATACTTCCTGAAATTTTCTCACTTTTAATATTCCTCATTTAAGAATTTCTAAATTTACCTGGTACCTTCACTACTGGCATTGACTCTCCAGTAATGAAGGATTCGTCTGCTGAGCTTTTCCCGTCCACTACTATGCCATCCACAGGGACTTTCGCACCTGGCACTACTTTAATAAGGTCGTTACGTTGTACCTGAAATATGGAAGCGGAGATATGTAGAGTGAGGAATTAAGCTCTACCATAAGAGCAACAGTACACTGAAATTTCACTTAGCATTTGAAAAATGTCCAGAAGATTGGAAATATTTTCAAAATCTTGCCTCTAACCCTTTTCTATGCTCCTCACATAAATCTCACGAAGATTATCTTACCAAAGGACATTCGTCTACTAGTTTCTGGGTATCAAAAACGTCTTTACGATCACCACATAACATACTTTTTAAGCAAACTGCAAAATGCACGACCAGTGATGTGAATAAATGACGACTGTTCAATGAGAAGAGATGCTGTGGACCTAATGAGGACGAAGACGCCCCAGTGAAGACCAAAAATGAAGATGAACGGTTTCTAGCTTGTGTCAACAAATTGTATTCGAAACTTGATACGACATTTGCTAATGCATGAAATGCAGACAACAGTCCAGAAAACCAAAGGAAATTGCGCTTGTGCTTGGACAATTCGATGAAGTCAGGTTATCCAAGCGATCAAAATAGTGATATATTTCCTTCTCAAAGTCAGCGAATAATGATTACTCCATAGGATGTGCAGTTAGAAAAACCTTACCAATTCAATATTAATTCCAATTTCTGATGTAATACGCCTCTCACCGTCCATAGTGACAAGGGTGGCCTCCTTCGCTTGAAGAGACATTAAACGACTCAATGCTTCAGAAGTCTTCCCCTAAACGATGCACCTTAGCAATACGAAAACTTTAATGAGTTTCAAATGTAAAAGCACTTACCTTTGCTTTGTGCTCAAGCATACGACCAAGTGAAATAAACACAATTAGCATAGGTGGAACATCGAAAAACGTCATTGGGCTTGATGGCCATCTAAAACCAATCTCTAACAATTTTATAAAATTCAAAATCCACACAATGAACAGCGCAGAAAGACGGAAGCCACATCATTAACTGAGTTACCTCAAAACGAGCGCTATAATGAGCACAAGTATTGAATATATAAAAGCGATTGTCGTAGCCAACACGATCAGAACGTCCATGTTCGCTTGGCCGTGGCGTAGTGCTTTCCATGAGGCAACGTAAAAATAGCGACCACCGATGACCTATAACGATTCAATACTACTTAGAAATCCCATTATAAAACGTTGCAAAAGGAAACATGCTATGACAATAAAGCATGGAAAATAGGGTGTGAACGTGAACTGTAACAGCCATAGAACATCCTCAAGTAACTGTTCTAGTTCTTCCCACCTGTACTGGAGTACATAACAACAGCAAAAGAAGGTTATCAAGCGATAGAGCAGGTGAAATCACAGGTGTTTGTTTTTCAGGATGCATAGGCGTGTGTAAAATCCAGTGAAATATTACCATAATAAGCATCACAGGAACTCCAAAAATCAAGCTTATAAGAAATGTTGTACGCCACCTGAACAACAAATCACCATATTACACATACTATTACAAGAACAACCAATCAATTATTAGGTGAAAACTGTTTCATACACAATGTCTACAGTATGAATAACCAAATTCAAAATTTTATAACTCCTCGCTCATTATTCCGCAGTAGTTATGAACTTCTCCACATGACATTTACTTACTCGGATACTTGGGTCGCCTGTCCTCATTGGTTGTCCAGACCCAAGCATAATCTCCATTTTTTCGGAATTTTGCTGGTTTAGTCCCAGGCTAAAGCCTGCACCAAGTCATCACCACCACAGGCAATCGCCGTTCTTGTGAATAAGAGGAAGATTTGCCACCATGCGACTAGTTTGGTACCAGGACTGTGATGAATCCTGGTATTAGTTTACTCTTAACTGGGCTTCCTAATTGAAACGCCGAACTCTTTCTCAGCTTAGGATACCCTGCCAGGGGTGAATCCCTCTGCTGTGCGTCTCAGCCCGACACCCAAGAACACCCAATCACGATGAGGCGGTAAACTGCGGTGAAGCTCCAAAGGAGTAGTCAATCAATTCTCCAAATGATAATCCTAAATAGATGAAAGTGTAGGAATCGATATAAACTTTTTTCTCTCCTTCTGTCCAGCCCTAACATTGAAGCTTAGGGCTATTCTGGCTGATATTTAAAACAAAAAGAGAAATCCATCACACTTTCGCACTTCTTCTGACTGATCCAGGCGTTTCATTTGGTCGTCTTTACTGGAAAGTTCTGCAGTGTATCCAAGACCCTAAAAGCATCAACTATCTACACACATGACCAACATCAGAAGTATTTAAACAGGTAATACTAACTGAATTCGATAAATCAATTTACATTTACACTAAGGCATATACTGAATTTGAAATAAAAGCAGTTTCTTAAACAGTAAAACAATGGAGCTCTTTGCACTACTGCAAGGTCCCAACTCTTATAATACATTTAACGAAGAATTATACTCAATTTTTGAAAAATGATCGCTATCGTGAATATGTTAAGTTGCAGATGAGGAAATTTCCACGGTCATATAAACTAGTTCTTACATGGTGCTTCAGTTCTTAAGCCACGTTCCAAATGAACTTTTAAACTAGATATAAGTTATACAGGAAAACAGACCTCAATAACTGAAATAAGATCTCGCGGCCCAACAGCCGACGGGGAAAACTCAACGGTAGCAATAGATGTAGCTAGAGATACGTGGCAGCTCTCTACACCCATTTTGGAGATGACGTGAGACTCAATGCGATTTACATCAACTTCACTATTTAACCCACCAATCTGGAAAACTAACGAAACCAATACGTCACAAAGGCAAAGAAAATGTCATTTGTAGCAGTAAAATTTGAAAGAAAACGTGCGCACCATTAGGTGAATTTTACTGAAAGCGGAAAATGGTGAGTCGATAAGAGTAGTACGATATCCAAGTGAATTCATTTCCTCTATTAGCTTGTCAACGTTGATTAGCGAAGGATTATAGTTTACTTCTGCTTTCCCCGAGATCAAAGCTACCACAATAGATTGCACACCTAAAAAACATTTGTTTGGTTCCAATTCAGTAATGGACGGCCTAGAGTTCTTTCCGAAGAAACGTCACACCTGATAGTTTAGCTATATTCTTCTCGATATACTGTACACAAGATGAGCAAGTCATTCCTTCAACAGCGAGCGTACATTTCATCAGATTTTCACTGCCTGTCTAAACATCTGTTTTAATTGCAATTATCTCTTATACCGTTTTTGATGTGTATTATACATGCATGAAACAAAAAACCGTCACAGACATATATTTATAGGAAGGACAAATCTAAAGAATTAAGCCATTCTTTTCGCCTCATGGTGGCAGTGAAGACAAAAAATGGTCTTCCAAAGAGTCCAGCAGCGAGTACAGCACGGAACTTATCTCCAAGATAGTCTACCAAGCTAAAAAGTTCGAAATTCTCATTCGACTACCTAGCAACTAGTGATGACCTGGAAAGGCTCTTGCATCGTACTCTACACTCCAAAGAAATCATATCTTGTTCAAACAGTAAATTAGAAGTCAAATGGCATTCATTGGATGCCAACATAATAATAATAAGCGAAGGAAGACCGCCTAGGTGCTCAAATAGGTGGAGGACGAATTATACATATATATTCCCATGACCGACTTTCTTTTAACCTCGGCATTGATTGATAATTCGATGTTTTTCTTCAATAAGCAGATACGAGGTTTGGCTGAGTAGATTGCATCTCAATTTGACCTTTCCAGGCTCTGAAAAAGGCGAAACCACCAAAACGTCAGCTATTGTATATTAATAAATTCTATAATAACAACCTCGTGTCTTTCTTCAATAAATCTCGTGTCTGCTTATTGAAGAAAAACAACGAATTATATATATATATATATATATATATAAAATATATAATACAGTATATATATAATATATATATACATACATAAACAAGGTTAAGCCATAGACGTGGGCTTATAGATACATACATATATGCTTATATACATAACATATATAAGGAATGGATAGCACAGTGGTGGTGATACCGGTCATCACCAGCACGGTGCTGTTTCAATCCCGCTTCAGGTCCACAAGCCTCTCAACCCTCCATGGTTGGGAAATCGGTACAGGTCCTGCCCTGGAAAAAAATCACTTTCCGCAATCCAGTGGGGAGTGCCATCTCAGCACTTAAGTGAGGATCGAGTTGACCAGCCTTTTATGATATTCAAGATTAAATGAAAATCCGGAAAGAGCAGCCGATGCTGCACTTTAAAGTTGGTAGACCTCAGGGGATTATGGATGCGTGGAAATCAATCGAATGTGTGAAGTCCTATGACCTGCACAGTAAGTGTGAAGACGGGTCATATAAAATACTTTTTATAAAAAAATATGTATATATAAGTATATGTGTAATATATACACGCATATATATATGTATATATGTATATATACATGTCTATATATATATGTATGCATATATATATGCATACATGTGAATATATATATATATATATATATATATATATATATATATATATACGTATGTACATGTACATGTATATGCATATACCCATGTGATGCACATAAATATGTATACATACTGTATGATTTCGATAAGATGATAAAAAAATTGGTAATTGCAAACCATCATAGCAGATGTGCCGATTTTGAGAAACGTCAATGCAGCAGCTGATATCATCATAAAGAGGACTACGAAAATCTCGAAACAAATCAGGGCAAGAAGAACACAAAGAAGTAGCCAATGTGTGCTTTAATGGAATGCCTTCTATCCCCTAAACCATCTACAGGATGGGCGAAAAAAAGACAATGCAAGAAAGAATGAAGCGAATCTCCAACACAATTGTTGCAAACTACGTTACTTTTCCTATGTCCTCACTACAGCATTCAGCACTGTATGTTAAACTCTACAAACTGCTTCAATTGGCTTATGGTGTCTAGTAAAAGATTAGAAAGAAGAATACACCTTCTATAAAACGAAAAATTCAACTTGACAACTATTCTAACTTTACATTGTTTACACTTTACATCTGACACATAAACTAGTACTTCAACCACTTTTAGACCAGGAGTATGTGGACGAGCCATAACTCTATAACAATGAAGAGTTGGTAAAGAAGTGAGGAATTATCAACACTCCGCCAAACTACCCAAGTAAAAAAGTGGCGTAATGCGAAGGTAAATAATCCGACTAAAGCTGAGAAGGTCGGGAAGAGAACGGACTTCAAGTCAACAATTGAGACAGTAAGATAACCGTACTGCATGTACCATTCAGTTCCATGACAAACAATACTCAAAAATTAAGAAAAATTAACCACAATGATGCTGAGGTATTTGCGAAACTCCGGACGGCAGGTGTCTGCGGTGGGTGCGGATCGAACACGCTATTACCCTTTTCGGGGGCTAACGCGTCTACGGCCACACCATGCACGTCCTTTACTTCACCTTTCTCTCAGCTAGCTTTCTATCTACTAGTGCCATCAGCAATCACACATCAACGGTATTGAACCGAGGAGTCCAAATCTGCAACGAACCCGGTTAAGCTGAGGCTGCAGTCAAAATCACAATGTTTTTTATTTACTGCCTACTACAATTTTTACGACAGGGTATTATGCGAAACCAACCACAATTATCCCGTTGACATCCGTTGCCGTTCATAACTGATTGCTGATGGCATTGGTAGATAGAAAACCAGCTGAGAGATTAGCTGACAAAAAAGCGAAATGAAGGAGGCAGATGGTGTGGTGGTGAACCTATTAGCCCCCGTGAAAGGTAATAGCATGTTCGATCCCACCGCAGATATCTGCCGTTCTAAGATTTGCAAATATCTCAGCATTATTGTGGTTGATTTCTTAATACCGCAATATCATAATAACCTACCGTAGAAACTGTAGTAGGTAGTAAATAAAAGAAGTTAAAACAAACAAGAAATCTCTGCTAGTTGGATTTTAAGTGTTGGGGCTGGTATTATCGAGTCTGCTATCGAAGCACAATGTCCTCACATATATCTATCTGGTACGGAACTAGTAATACTTCTACTAAACAACAGGGAAGACATCCAAAATAGAGTGATTTCCGTACATTTAAATAGCATTAGTTAATAGTTCGTATTAAGTGGGGGTAAAGTTCAAGCGTAGGGCTTTTGAGTCAGTTCCGCAAAAATGCATCCCACCTAAATCTGAAAATTCAAACTAGTATTCTATTTTTATACCCACCCTCGCAAGATACTGAGTAAACTGCCAGCGAGTACCTTTCATAAAAACAGTGATACTTCTCGTATGGAAATACGGCACAACTTCAACCTTCGAGAAAGCCAAGAGAACTAAGGACCTCTTTCGATAACTTAAGCATTTCAGGAATTGATAATTTGACTCTGAAGAAAGCAATAACTCCGAAACGCAAACCACAACGAACGTTTACTAACATTCCGTCTTATTGAGTTGTATTCAATAAAATACAAACCGTTCTTATAAATTTTAAAGCAGAACAGGTCATGAACAAGTCATAAATCACGCATTTGGTTGAAAATATGTTGGTAAACCCTCAGGAGATAGATGTGGTAGGGTTCAACAAAACGATCCCAAAGATTACGTTACGGAAAAAAGTCCCGCGTGGCAAATTCATTCAAGGTGGAGCATTCCATGTAGAGTTGGCGGACAAAAGGCAAATGCGAGCAACTCCTTAATGTACTGGCCAACTAGCACATACTCAGTGACCGTAGTGATGTATATTTCTGTGGGAACGAAATAAAATACTTGCAACTGGATCTCTACGAGGAAGAAATTCGCTTGAACAAGTGGAGCAGCCTTACATTCACTATCTCCTTCATGATATCACGCTGAAATCGTTGAAGGCTACTGAAATAGACTTCGTGTAGAAGATTCTACGGAAGCACCTGAAACGGCTTCCCCAACCGCAAAAGCCAGTGCGTTGTAAACGCTGCTTCTTCCTACATCTTTCGACATTTTTACTATGACGATAAGAAGAAACACGGCATTGTCGACAAGACGATGTGAATAGTGCAGTGATTAGAGCATCTACACAAGTACACGCTGTCTTTGGTTCGATCGCGCGTCCAGGATAAACCGTCTCTACATATTCAGTATAGCGCCGGACTCGTCTTGGAGAATAGAACAGTAGCTTCGTACATGACAGCACTCTCTCCCATGTGGTTCCATACGCCAGATATTCATTCAATTAGAGAAATTTACTTTGAGCTGAGATATGTTGGTTTTATTTTGAAAGGTGTTATTTTCACGCCGTATGAATGCGAATCTACTGGCGTAGGAATTCTAAGCCCAGAAAAACCTATGTGCTAGTGAACTGATCAACAACGAATATAGTAAGGCTGTCAACATAAATGGACACATGTTATTTTACGGTCTTACCTTTTATGAGCTGACAAGAGCGACCTAAGAAGTACTTTGATCTTCGATAGCCATTGCGAAGCTTCTCAGTCGTAGGTGAACTACGTACAGACATTTTCAATCGTTAACAAAGAAAAGGGCTTAGAGAAAGAAAATTCGCCGATGCGTTAGTCCACAAAGACCAAAACATTTGTTGCAAACCTCGTGTCGGCAAAAAAAGGAAAAGTTTGTAAGATAACATAAGTGAATGATTTCCAGCACCGTCGAGCACAAAGGATAATCATGTAAAGTACAATGCATACCATAGACCATGGTATTAAAAATTCTACTGAATTTATGTGACATTCGTTTCCTAACCATTTACCGCCTCATTGTGGCCGGCAGGTGTTCCTAGGGGTTGGGCTGTGATAAGAAGGAGATTGGAGCTTCCATCAGGAAGCCCAGCTAAGAGTAAACCATTACTAACACCAGAATCAACCATCGCCCTGGTATTAGACCAGACGCATGGTGACAAATCCTCCTCTGACGGCTTGGCTGACCTCGGAACTCCGGAGAACCACAATGGATCACCTGTACCACCTGTAGTCCCGTTGATCGTCGAGTGACTCGAGCGGGCGCCAGTAAATCTTCCATTTTTCCCTGTCGCGTGCAAGAGTAGCCCAGTGGGTTCTGCTCGCTGGTCTTGTAATTGGCGAAGCTTCGATGGGTTTTGCGAACGCTTTTCCCAGCCTCTGCAGTCTTGACCATTACTGCTACTCTTTTCTCTTTAAGATCTTTTATTGCCTGTCTGTATTGTTTTGTAAGCTCGGACGTCAGTTCGCTGTTGCCTGCAGCCTATTGGTGACTTTCGAACTCTCAGTTTTCATAGCGCTAACATGAAGATGTTGAATGAGCCGATCGTATTCTTCGTCGATGTTATCGACAACGTCATTTTCCCAACGGCCGACTAATGAATTGAATAAGTGTCAGTTTGCGGTGGTTCTGGGACATCGGTTTTGGAATTTGTGGCTTTTCTCCTTTCCGCGAAAAACAGAATCTTGCACGAAGTAGACGATGGTCTAAACCGGTATAGAATTTTGGGACAACAATGACCTCGGTTAGGTAAAACCTTCTACTTACTATGATGTGGTCTATTTCGTTATGGTACTCTCCATTGGGAGACTCCCATGTCCAGCACTGTGGGTGTGGCTTCTGGAATTGCGAGTTACCACGGATTGTCTCGGTCGCTATGATGAACTCAGACAGTCGCTCACCCTGTTCGTTCCATTCTAATCCGTGGGTCCCAATATAACGTTCTTCAGACGTTCTTCTTTGTCCCATCCTGGCTTTGAAATCTCCAGTGATGACCTTGAAGAATGTGTGGTCTTCTCTGTAGAACTTCTCCAAGTCCATATAGAACGCTTCGACTTCTTCTTCATCATGGTTTGATGTCGGCGCGTAAATGACGGAGATTACCAAAGCCGGAATTGATCCACGTCTTTTTAATCGTAAACGTCCGATTCGGGTTGTAAGTTGTTCGAACAAACCGATGTTCATGGACAAACTCGTGCTGACGAGAACTCCAACGCCGCCGACTCCTCTACTGTCGCATGTTCCGAGGAACAGTTTTTCTCCGGTGTCATAGACGGCGTTGAAAGGCTGGCGTCTCCTCGTCTCGGCCAGGCCGATGACGTCGTACTTTATCCTTCTTTGCTTGTATGAGAAAGTTTTCTATCAAGGACTCGGATGCAAGTATACGTGCATTGTAGGTACAGATCGTCACCATAGTTCCTTGAAAGGTAAAATATAGATACAAAAAGTACTAGATTTTAAACGGGACGACTGACCACATATAATTACTAGCTAACTTTCATCCTCTGTGTATTACGATCAGTCCAGAAATTGATCCGGCAAATACAAAGTTCCTGATCGCCGATTTTATCAATTAAATGACCTTTAGTTCCATAAACGACGAGATGTCAAACGGCTTAGTGTGTACCTAAGGTAGGCAACTTGACAATGTATCTGGCTAAACAAAGAGAACTAATCAGAACTAGAAGCTAGAAACAGTACTGACGAAGCATCGAGAAACTACTACTCCGCTTTAACTTTTCATTTACTGTCAATTCTTTTTCCATAGCAGGATAAGATATGAAGTATAACCAAAGCGATGTTGATATATGAGCAAAACTCGGAGCCAGGTAGGTTTCGAACTCTCGACCGCTCCTACCGGGTAGAGAACCACTAGGGAAAACGACTGCGCGACAGATAAACGAATGGAAATTGTGCTGTAGCTCGCGCTACCAGTGAAGATGGGCCATCCAAGTTTCCAAGCAAGCAAGTATAAATTCGTCGAAAGGACTTAAGCAAGCGTGATGAGATGCGATCGACCCTATTCAATAAGATATCGAGTTCATGCTAGCCATACCATGTACGATAACCGCAATTTAAACTCCTACATCTCAATACATTTCGAGGACTAAAAGATCAAATTAGTATGATTCAAAACCACACCTCTACACCGTGTTTCGAAGCTGGCATCGACACTTCACCTTTGTGAGGAGTAGTAAACCGAATGAGAGGATTCTTCGTTTGGGCTGATTCATTTAAGCCAACAGAATCAAGCACCACTAAAACATAGAGGACGTCACAAAATTACTCAACTGGCTAACAAAACAGTACAAAAAGCAACAGTAAAGCAGAGAAAAAGGAAAGGTAAAGATGAAGTCAAATATTGGGTACATGAAAAAACCCGATAGGTGATGTACATAGCATCCTTACCTGCAGTACTTAATAACTTCGCCTCAAAGCCCATATCATTTATACCTTCTACGAGCTGGTCATCCGTCACCATTGTAGAATCGTATACGATCGTACCTAACATTGTATTTCCACTAATTTTTTGTTCACAAGAAATTCACAGAATTATTTCCTGAAAGTGTACCCTCTTCCATTTCCAGAGAAACGACGACGGAAAAAACGCCTGGCCTTTTCATAGTTGTGTCTTGAATATTGTTAACACATGCTTTGCATACCATTCCTTTAATAGATACAGTAGTTTTCCTTCGATATGTATTTGACAACTCTGCGGCCTCGTCACGAGAAACTGCAATTATTCAATCAGCACTCAGTCAATCCACACGGTTTGGAAAGAAATACTGCTCGAAAACAACAACAAGCCATTATACGAATGCTCGAGTTTTGCTTCAAAGCCCATGTCATCGATGCTTTCCGCCACACTTGCCCCACTCCAAATCGAGGGATCGAACACGACAATACCTAAGGACAAAACCAGAAAAATAAAAGATTGCAAAGGAAAAAACGTGAAAATACCTTCAGCGTTATAAAGTGAAACCTTGCATGAATGAATTCCGGGACGGGAACGCATCGTGTCTTGAATATTATTGACACAAGAATGACAAGTCATTCCTCTAAAACATACTTATAACTTTCCGAGAGAGATACTACAACGTTGTACTCACTTAATGGTAATGACTGCGGCTTGCAGTGGTACTTTGTCACCATTCTCTGGCTTCTCCACAGCTTCTTGAGAAACTGACAAGTAAGGTTTCCTAGAATTGTAACTTCAAATGATCGACCAACACAGCAAAACTTCGATGTTCAAAACAAAACTCGAAAACTAGTTTATGAACTGCTGCTGTCTTCTCTTGAATTTGCATGACACTATTTAGCCACATAGTAGTCCAACTATAACTCAGAAAATTATATGCACATACATCTATATATATATACATATATATATGTACAAGCACACATGTATACATTTTTGCGAGTGTGGCGCAATGGCCGGAGGCGGAGGCGCCCTACGACACACATATAGGATCGATCCCCGCACGCGTGGCTCACCTGGTCTTCCATCTCTCCGGGATCGGTAAATTAGTACACGACTTGTCTTGAAGGATGGCAGCACTGGCTCGATACATCGGCAGACCACCGCGAGTCATTGAAAAGGCCTAATATGCATTCAATCATCTTCAACGATACTTAATGAAGTCGAATGCATGGCTCACTCTCAGGGACTGATCAACGCCATGAGCTTTACCCTTTACATACACATAAAGGGATAAAGCTTTCGAAGTTCATCTATTCCTGAGGGATTCGACTTCATTAAGCATCGTTTGGAGGTGACTGAATGCATATCTGGCCTTTATAATGACTCGCGGTGGCCTACCGATTTATTGAGCCAGTGCTGCTATCCTCCCAAACAAGTTTGGTACCAATTTGCCGACCCTAGAGGGATGGAAGGTTTGGTGGGCCATGGGTGCCGTGATCAATTTCACGTGTGTCGCAGGGTGCCTCCGACCACTGCGCCACACGCGCCCCTTACATATACATATATACGTACACATACATATATATGTACATATATACATACGTGTATATATACTTTCTCCAAAATTCCACCTTTTTTCTGACCAAAAATAAATCTTGACGGACCAAAAGTCATATAGCAATAGTCATATAAAATCAAGTTACAAGCAAGTTGGGAAGCACAAAGTAGCAAGTTCTCAGGAAGACGATGCTACGAAGAAAAAAACCAAATCAAACGAAATATCACAAGTCCCCAATACCACAAACCGGTACGATGAATGCAGAGACTTTTAGGGAAAAAACGATACCTGACAAAGCAAATGCCAGTCTGTGAAGAAGAAACATGAACATGCCTTCCATTTAAATTAGGCGGAAATGTTGGAGTGATACCATGATATTTGTCAAACGAGTAATGAGACAAAATTTCGAAGGAAAAACCAATCCTTAAGAGCAAAAATGATCACGATTCTACAATGAGCACAAATGAGAAGAGAACACATGAAAACGGATGACCAGAGGGCTGGTGAGCAAATGTAAGGAATTGCGTCATAACAAGTGATCATTTAAACAAGTACAGATGTCTTACTCGGGAATAAATGAAAATCGAACACCAGTAAGAATAAGACGGCTATAAGGAGAGAAACAAGCAAGAAGGACTGAACATAGAAAATATGTCTGTTTATCTTCCATTCGAATCTTCGCTGAAAGATGTCTACTGAGCATATGTTATGATCTTTTAAAAGAACTAACACCGTCCTTTGCGTTCTAATTCTAGGTTTTTCTCTCCCCGACAACCAACGTTGTAATCTTAAGACCTATATAGAGTACTCGAAAGATGTGAAGAAGCACTGGTCCCTCTAAAATAGCGCATGGCAAAAACAACGCCCGGACATGGAGACTGAGCAGACAAATTTCTCTCTCTCGTAGAAGAACAATGAGTAGAAAAAACTGAATAATGTAATAAATTTCTCACTAAATTGAATATTGTGAATAAATTTTAGTAAAACCAACCTTGTACGATTCAAAAACACAATCTTACTCAAATCTGTGAACAGAAGACAGTTTCTAGCTGAGTAATGCAAAACGATGGACCCGCATGGTGTGGTGGTGAACACGTTAGCTCCCGAAAAGGGAAAAAGCGCGTTTTTTCCCTACCGCAAACACCTGCGAACCGGAGTTTTACAAATATCTCAGTATAACTGTGGTGCAAATTGTAGTCCCATGAAAAACATGCACTACTAGTTAAATTAGCATAACTAGTAAATCTGTTAAAGCTAGAAAACACTAAACGACCCGCACCTGTTCACCGCTGAAAGTCAGTGTGTAACTTCACTGAGTTAAGGAAACATGAAAAACATTTTTTAAAAAAACTGTAGAAAGTAAACCGAAAGCATGAACAGATCAGAAATTCACTATACCACTAATTTTCTTCTAAGATTAATGATCGTACCTCGCATTTGTTACTGGTGAAACTTGAGATTCCAGTAAGCTATCATCCAAAAGGCAACGATTAGCATTGTACTCGTTTGCCATCGGAATCGAAGACCTGAAACCATTTCTTCACAGAACTTACAGTTTACTTCCAGCGCATAGAGCCCTCTATAAACACATTCATGACAATGCGCATTTATCCCAATGCAGTTCGCAACCAACCAGCGAGAAGTCTGGAATTCTATCATGGTGCGCACACAGAAAATTAAGCGTTGCTAAGTATTAGTTAGGTAGGAATATATGCCACAGGGTAGTAACTAGAAATAAGGGAAGCGAGAGTCAGGTACAGTCCAAGCTACGACAGAAGGAAACAAAAGTGAGTGAAAGTTACTAAAAATCAGCGCTACATGTGCATATAATGTGCATGGCGATGGCTTTCTGTATCTATTAGCTACTAGTTTTACACTTCTTTATTTGCAGTGGTTTCTTTCAGTGGTAGGACAGTATTTCAGCGACGGGAACTGAAATTAGACATAAGGATAGAGCACCAACATCGACCTTTACTCTGTCATGGGTATCATCACTCAACAGAAGACTCACGAACGAGCAGCTCTTCGCAAATCCTCAGAAACGCTGACAACAGTTGCGTGTATTTGAACATGAAAAGAAAACCACTAGTCCTCTTCCTGGGGAGATCAGCCGGTCGTCGACTCCACTCTCCACTGGGATCCTGGCACTTCGTGCTTCGCCTTGCGTTCATCTAGGCGTCTCATCTTTTCTCTTTTTTTTGCAAACATTTTATAGCCAGAAGAAAGTGACAATCTTTCATTTTTGTCTATTAGTGCGTACCAGACTGTTCGAAAATTAATGCTTCAGATTAACTGTGATCAATATCGATTTTTGCTCCTAAGATCAATCCTATTGACTGGTGATTGCTGACAACACCTATACGTCAATAACACGAGTAACAGAAAGGCGAAATGAAGGATTCACATGGTGTAATGGTGAACGCGTTGGCACCCGGAAAAGGTAAAAGTGTGCTCACTCCTCACCGCAGACACCTGCGGTCCTAAGTTTTACAAATATCTCAACGTCATCATGGTTAAGTCACACATAATACCCTGCCGTAGAAAATTGTAATAGACAGTAAATAAGAAGTTAATATTGTGATTTAGACTACAGCCTCAGCCTAACTGGGTTCATTGCCAATTTGGGCTCCACAGACCAACCTCGTTAACTGGTGATTGATGATAGCAAACATACGTCAATAACACGACTGAGAGGAAGGCGAAACGAAGGACTTACATGGTGTGGTGGTGAACACGTTAGCACCCGGAAAGGGTAACAGCGTGTTCGTTCTCCACCGCAGACACCTGTGATCCGGAGTCTTGCAAATAGCTCAGCATCATTGTGGTTGTATTTCAAATAATACTCTGCCATTAAAATATAGTAGGCAGTAAATAAAACGTGATGACATTAATGCACGAAGTGTAATTCTATTTCTACTGTATGTTTCAGCAAACATTTTCAAACTTAACGAACACTGTACCTTTATGTATCAATGCAAAGCTGACTTAATGCATTTTTACTGCGGGTAATGGAATGACAAAAGTTGCGCTTCTGAGAATTTTACAAGCTACAGTTTCACATAGTAAAACAGTAACTTCGACAAACCTATTTCAACGAACTCAAACGCCGACCTAGGCAACGCAAACGGCTCGAAACAAGAGAGCCGTGGAACCAAGGAAGTGTTAAAACCATACATTACGACAGCTCGGAAAATTTCGTCGAGGACTCGATCTTGAAGATGAGGTCATTCTGCCACTAATGACGATGAAGCGATGGCTTTGGTGGAAGTAATTATAGGCAAAACTTGCAGAACTCAATTTAATCAACTCAACTGTCTCGGAGCATCCAGAAATGTTTTGAAAGTCGAGAAAGCTCGACAAATGGATGGCGTATGAATTGAATGATAATCAAAGAAATCATCACTTTAAGGCACTGTCGGCGCTTCTTCTACTGAATCAGAACAGTCTGTTTCTCAACTATAGTGTCACATGCGACGAGATCATCTGAGATAACCAGTGACGAGCAGTTCAGTGGTTGGACAGCGATGAAGCTCTGTAGCACTTCCGAAGGCCAAAAGAAGATCGCGCTGACGGTTTGATGCTGATTGAATCCATCACAGCTTCCTGAACCTTAGTGGAACGACTAATGAGGAAAAGTACGTTCAGCAGATCGAAAAAATGCAGCAGGAACTTCAACGGTTGCGTTCGATATTGGCCTACAGGAAGGGAACAATCCTTTTCAACGATGACGCATGGTCATACGTCGCATCATCGATCATCGATCATGCAAAGTTTCAATGATCTTGGCTACGAGGCTCTGTTTCTATGTCATAAATGAAGTTTCTTCCAAGCCAAGATATGCCACGTTGAAGACATGCCCTAGTTCCCAAAACGACCTATTTTTCGATAACTGATCCGACGGAAAAGTTGAATTCAGGTGAAGGTGATCTTGAAGAAGATGCTCGGATTCGATGTCCACAGTCATTCGTTTTCGAATATGACTTCTCTTCAAACGTTTCAGACTCTGAAGAGGACGAAGTGGTCGAAACATTACCCGAACAAAACTATGTTATCAACCTCGTATAAGCTTATCAAGCAAAGAATACAATAAGCAGTGATTTGAAAACCCAAAATATTGATAACATGCGAAATAAACGATTATGATGACCCAAAGCAGCGCTGTAGAGCGACAGTGCGAATATGTTATGAACGTCCTTCTAGTGGAATCATAATATGCGGTACGCTCATTGTGGCTTGAATGCCACACACGTCGTACGACCAGCACGTCACGTTCGTCACACAAGTGCAGTATAGAATTTCCATCCCCGTTCATATAAACTGGAATTAGATGATAATGAATGCCGACGAACTCTGTCAATACTCAGATTCACTCGCAACACCCACGATTCCACTAATCGTTGACTCGCTCGGCTCAACACCAGAAAAACTTCCGTCTCTGCATCGATTTATGCTGTGCTCCTTCGAATAGCACTCTAAGAACATCATGTTTTCGAGTCGAAATCAGTTCTCAATAGTGAGCAGTCTATCTGCAGCCCACTGAACACTATAGTCCCATGGTTTCATCACTTACATGATTTCCAGATTGAAACACCGTTGTCAGCATAAATGACCTTGCTAGGGGATGAACGACCACCACTCACCCCTAGATCGCGCTACAGACTGATAAGATACCGAATTAGGCTAGTTGAACCGCTTTTCGACGAGAACAGAGCTCATGAAATCAAGGACATACAACTTTAAATATCCTTATCTCTAAAGAACTTATATTTTACGTGATAGAGAACAAAGAGAAGTGGAAACAATACACTCCTACAGTTACAACTACTGAAGAACACCTCTTTGTGTAAAAGCCTAGCTACTAATCCACTCAACGCTCTTTCTACGCACGTAGTGGGCAATAATAACAAAAGCTACAAATTCTTATCCTTCTAACAAAGATAACAACAGACCAGTTAAATAGAAGCTGTATGGATTTACTTACAACAGTAAGTGCTAGTAGTACAGTAATAGTGGAGATTCGACAACTAAGAGATAAAACTCATCTATCCGCAAACACATTTATTACAGAAACCTTCCAAATGGACTGCATTGGTAACAACCATAGATCTAGATATATTTCCTATAGTTGCTGACTTTATAGCATCTTCATTCTCAAGCAGCAAAAACAACTAATCGTCAGTAAGAACAGAGCAAGGAACATTGTGTGCGTCAACAAGAACTGCACAAAACTAAGAGAACGAAATGTGTCTACTATGCTATATTACAAGACCAACAAGTAAAACAACCATAACAGAGCGTCGTAATCACGCATATTTCAACAAGAACGGTAAACAAGTCATCGGTTGAATCGATTGCGTGGGCACCGTGCAAGGGGACACCCTGCACTAGCGCTCCTTTGTGAGACCCTTCTCACGAGCTCGGAATTCGCGGTCAATTTGATGTCGTAGGTGATCCTTATACGAGAATATATCACCGTCCCACTTCGTAATAGTCTGATTGTCACAAACCCATACCTCTCCGGCTACCTGAACAATGCAATGAAGTCATGATCCACTCTCTGCTCTCTACAACCAGCTGTGGACGACAACTCCCATAATTACATGAGCACACCATAGTCGCACCATTGCTGATAATCGCAAACCATTTATGAAAGTAGTGTAATATGCACTTTCACAGAGGTGTTCTACATTTCGTTAATATCTAGTTAAAAAGAACAAGTCATATCACTAGTAGTTGACTTTAATTTTAAGAAAAACTTGCTACTTCATCTGAATACATAAAGGAAAAAATAAAGGACAAAGCTCTCGGCGTTGATCAATCCCTGAGGGCCGCGCCATGCATTCGAATTCATTAAACGTTGGAGGTAAATGAATCCACATATGGCCTTTACAATGACTCAGGGCTGTCTATCGATATATCGAGTTAATGCTGCTATCCTCCCAGACAAGTCTCGCACTAGTTTGCCGAGCCCGAAGGGATGGAAAGCATGGTGGCCCTGAGGAACGGGAATCGATCCCACGCATATTGCAGGGCGCTCCAACAAATGCGCCACACGTGCCCTATCTGGACACACAATGTTTTGAATGTTAAATAATTAATTAGTTTGAATGTTAAATTATTAACTAGTTGTTTAACGTTTTGTTTTCTGCCTTCTATAATTTTCATGGCAGGTTACTAAGCGAAATACAACCACAACGTTGCTGAGATATTTGCAAAACTCTGGACCGCAGGTGTCTATGGTGGGGAACGAACGCGCTATTGTTCTTTCCGGGGAGTAGCGCGTTCACCACCACAATATCTTGCAAATATCTCAGTAACGTTGTGGTTGTATTTCGCTTAGTAACCTGCCATGAAAATTATAGAAGGCAGAAAACAAAACGTTAAACATTGTGATTTCAACTACAGCCATAGCTTAACTGGGTTCTATACCGATTTGCGCACCCCAGATCAACCCCGCTGACGGATGATTGCTGTGGCAAAAAGATCGATAGAAATAGCTGAGAAACAGGCGAAACGAAGGACAATAGCGCGTTCGTTCCCCACCATAGACACCTGCGGTCGAGAGTTTTGCAAATATCTCAGTAACGTTGTGGTTGTATTAACTAGTTGATCAAACTATTATATGAATGGAATCCCAGTGTTAGTACTCGTCTAAGCAACTAGTTAAAAACTCTGATTGTGAGTATAGCATCCGAGTTACACGGCACCATCTCGTAGTTTATGGTAAAGATACCAGTGAGACAAGACAGACAATGACAGATCTAGAGTTCCCGACACCCTAACTAATTTTGATATTTCGTCAGCGAGCTATGGCTATAGTGGGCGAATTTAAGCACACTATTAATGTTTAAGAGCTGACAAAAACTGGTCAGGACCGCAAAGTTGACGAGGTAGGCCATTCAACAACAAAGTTGTTACATCGTTTTTGGAAAAACGGCTACATGGTATTGCATGGCCCTAGCTTTCGCCGCGCGCGGTGCGCATTGGCTTCAGTGTCAGTCAAGTTATGAATTACAGTTTTCTAGTCCCTGTTCTATTGTAGATGAATGTAGGTCTTTTTTTCTTGCAAACTATAAAGCGTACAATATGAATTTTCCAGTTAAAACCCGTTACATGTGATATTGAGTGGTCGATCGGACATGAAAAGCAATATAGAAACCTCAGGACGGCAAAATAGATGGTCGGGAAGGAAATATATTGAAATCAATGCACAACGTCCTCTATGTATCAGTTGACAGTGGAGTGGCAAGGAGAACCTAGCCCTCTTAGATCACTACATTTGTAAATCGATAATAATACATGTCAACATAGATATGAAAAAATACCTGGCTAACAAGTCGGAAATCATGGGACACTAGAATCATCCCTCCCGGAAAGCAATTTAGGGCTTCAGCTAAAGCGTCAATTGACTCCATATCAAGGTGATTCGTCGGCTCATCAAGAAGAAGAAGATGAGGTTGTTGCCAAGCTAGCCACGCAAAAGAGACACGACAACGCTGCCCATCTGACAGTTGTTTCATCGGACAGACCTTCGAAACACGTATAGTAGAAATACAAACGAAACCAGAATCCTCAGCATTTCATATTGGACAGAAACGATAAAACCATATAGAACTCACCTGCTCTCTGCCGGTGATCCCGTAACGGCCTACAATCTTCCTCATCTCCTCCTTCTCCTTCACTTCCGGAAAGGACGACATCATGAATTCAAGGGCTGACTTCTCAAGCGGAAGCTCCTCATGGAGATGCTGACAAAGGAATATTAGGTTCGGAATCTTCAAAAGAACGTGCTCATAGTGATAAACACAACTCTCTGGCAAGGGTTCTTATTAAGAACATGGTGGCTTTTGTGTGCATATCATTGTTCGAATGCACAGTGTTATGCAAAAATAAAGGAATAAAGATAGATAACTCGGCACACTTACTTCAAGTCATTTATGCACTTTATTACAACATTCTTGACATGTATTAGTACAGCATGCAAATGAGAAACCGTGAAGAGACGCTAGATATTACACGAAAGTTAGGCACAACTGATGTAGGTTCACGTAGAAGCGCACAGATGTGATATTTTGGACATTTTATAAAACTTCAGCTACACAATCATTATTTATATCTTTGCTTGTCACCCTTATCGCTTAATTTGCTGACTGTATACATGATGGTTAGCAGAATAAGGACGAGTATGAATAACCCTCGATCATCAAGACCATTCAGCATGCTAGCCACATTAGTAGCAGCCGCCTGACTTTCATCGTGAGGGCGAGTTTCGTGGCCCTTATCCGGTGTATGAACCGTATCATGCATGACTCTGAAAATGTGAACAATTTTGAACTACGAACGAATTGAATTGTTAAAATAAGGTTTTGGTGACAAAATAACGGGGAGCATTGCTTGAATATTTAATTACCGTACTGGTATAAAGTTGTTCAAATGAATCAATGTTCATGGACAAACTCGTGTTGACGAAAACGCCGACGCCGCCGACTCCTCTACTGTCGCATGTTCCGAGGAACGGTTCCTTCTTCGGTGTCATAGACGGCGTTGAAAGGCCGGCGTACCCTCGTCTAAGCCAGGCCGATGACGTCGTACCTTATCCTTCTTGCTTGCGTTTAGCCCTTTTGATACCCACGCATAGCTTGCTGGGCACTGAACGTGGGGAGCTGGGTATACTCACGCGTAGCTTGCCAGGCTCTTCCAGAGTGGACATGTAGCTTATTTGTTGGAGGCGACTTCTAACCGCCTCCCATATACTTCCCAGTCACTTGCAGGCTTTTGGCAGAATTGACTCGTAGAATACAATCGGCATAATAGGCAAGAACGCACCCACACACGCGTGCATGAATACGCCTAGCAAATACAGAAAGTATGTGCCAAATAAGCGCAGCAGAAACAAGGATTCCATCCCTGGATCCACCTGCGTCTCAAGGAAGCAAAGGTCGCTTTTGGTCCGCAGTTAACACCTATCCGCCCACCTAGGGACGCGCCACGTAGCCTCGCGACTTACTGGCTCGAGATCCCTCATATGAGGGAGAACCGTGATCGCACTTATTCAATTCATTAGCCGGCTGTTGGGAAGATGTCGTAGTCGATAACATCGACGAAGAATACGATCGACTCATTCAACACCTTCACGTTAGCGCTATGAAAGCTGAGATCTCGAAAGTCAGCAAGAAACGTCTGTCTCTAGAAACACTCGAGCTGGTACGCCAGCGTGGAATCGCAGGAGCTGCAGGCAACCGCGAACTAACATCCGAGCTTGCAAAACAATGCAGACAGGCGATAAAAGAAGATCTTAGAGAGAGAAGAGTAGCAGTAATGGCCGAAGATGCAGAGGCTGGGAAAAGCATTCACAAAGCCCACCGAAGCTTCGCCAATTACAAGACCAAAATGACTGCTCTCCGGCGCCCAGACGTAAGAGTTACAGCATCCAGAAAAGCAATGGAGAAAATCATTCACGAATACTACCCGGATCTCTTTGATAGCCACGTCCACCTTCCGTTATATGAAACAAAGGAGGATGGATATGTTGTACCACCGGTTCACCCCTCCCAAATCCGTCACGCCATTTCGTCGGTGAAAAATCGAACAGCACTAGGTCCTGACAGGATAAGACCAGAACACCTGAAGAACCTTCCGCCAGTCCTCGTAAACACAGTGGCTCTGTTCTTCACACGTTACCTGTCTGAATGCAAGGTCCCTACTCAGTGAAAGACCAGCACGACCCAGTTACTGTTCAGGAAGGGTGACCTGCACAAAATCGGCAACTATCGCCCAATCTGCTTACTGTCTGTTGTCTACAAACTTTTCGTTCGAGTTATCCTAAACAGGATTGACAGAACACTGGACGAAGAACAGCCATGTGAGCAAGCAAGGTTTGGAAAAGGATTTAGTACGATGAACCACATCCACACGATAACAGGGCTCATTGAAATATCGCTAGAGCACAAAAGACCGCTCTGTCTCACTTTCAACGACTTACAGAAGGCCTTTGAATCAGTTGAGATGGAACCAGCCTGGGAAGCCCTTGATAGTCAAGCAGCCCCTACTCAGCACTTAAAGATTCTTCGTAAGCTGTGCAAAGTTTCCAAGATATCACCATTTTACAACGATATTAACACTGACGTTAAAAGAGAAGTTAGGCAAGGCGATACCATCTCGACAAAATTATTTACCGCCACCCTCGAGAACGTCATGCGAACATTGGAGAGGGATGAATATGGAAGTGAAAATCGATGGTCGGCAGTTACACCATCTTCGCTTTGCTGATAACATCGTTCTTATAACACCATACATTGGCCAAGCAGAACGTATGCTTGCCGACTTTGATAAAGCCTGTGGAAAGATTAGTCTGCGACTGAATCTCACAAAAACGATGTTCATGAGGAACGGATTGATTTCGTATGCCCCATTGACGCTTAACGGAACGAATATCTCCGAATGCTCCAATTATACCTATCTAGGTCATGAAATCAGCATGTTGAACAACTTAGCTCCAAAGTTGAGCAGAAGGAAATGAGCGGCTTGGGGAGCTTTCAAGAGCAACGAGGATGTAGTGAAGAGGACAAAAAACACCCGACTTCGTGCCCACATTTTCGACCCAACGGTACTTCCCGACTTAACATATGCGTCAGAAACCTGGTCACTGCGTAAGCAAGATGAAAGATCACTTAGCGTTATTGAACGCACAGTCGAAAGGACGATGCTAGGAGTAACCTGCTTCACATAAATAAGGGATGGGATCCGAAGCTCCGACCTGCATCAACGATCAAAAATCAAGTACGCCGTTCTATAGACCAAAGTGTCGAGGATAGGATAGGATGGTCACGTAATGCGTATGAACGACAACCGGTGGATAAAAGTCGATAGAAACTGGATTCCTCGGGATGTCAAACGCACACCGAGAGGACCACCAATCCGATGGTCAAAGTTTTTCACGACCCTAGAAAAAAGATGCGGCACTCAATGAGTCCCTATGGGCAGCAAAACCCAATGCTCTACTCCCAAGTGCAAAAGGGGAAATGGAAGATTGATTGGCGCCCATTCAAGTCATTCGATGATCAACAGGACGACCGGTAATAAAAGTGAATATCATTCAGACCTTTCACATGTGATCTCTGTAACCATTTAGCACTAAAATCGCTGAGAAATAACAGGAACGGTAGCCGATAACTGAATGTGAATGAATAACTTGGAAAAATAATAATAAAATGATAACAATAATAAAATAACTTGTATGAACAGAGTTTATCAAGTGTTTTACAGTATTAAATCCAAAGGATATTTTCAAGAAACGTGAACAGCTTAAATGAAATAGAAAAAAATTCTATCTAAAAATTTAAAACAAAATAATGTCGGCACATAGAAATAAACGCTAGCGTTCCCAAGCACTTTTTTTCGAAGTTGAATTGCACTGATTACACCAGATCTATCTCATTAACATTTTTTTCCCACCTCTTCTACCACATCTATTTCTATCCAGAAGATATGAAAATAAAAAAGCAACATACGACGACACTTCCATGTTCTCGGTTTTTCCAACAGCATCCAGGAGTAGCTGCTCCACAGGGGGATTTGAAGCGTGACACGTTTTCGAGGTACTCACACGGGCCTACTCAAGTGGCAGATACTATGGAACTTGTTATCAAATAGACAACAGAACTCACAATGAGGCGAATAGAAGTTGTTGATGCATCAGAGTCGCTTTTGGAATCCATGAACCGTGTTGTAATCAGTAATTTCGGGGACGGTACCTCTCTCCAATGTTGATAGTTGCTAGGTCTGGTCCATGTTAGGACCAAACGCACTTGCGCATGAGGAGGAATTTCTCCGTCGCCTGAAGGGAGCGCCTGCAAAGATAATGTCGTTTACCAAAGTAAGGAGTGACACATATACTTTTAATGAACTCCGCCTCATATGTATTCTATAGTGTTTATCACTTTAATGGGTTCCAGATTTTTTTTTTCTGCCGCACTTTGTATATTCACTTAACAATTAATTGAAAGGGGTGGGACCAAAAAACTATTCTCTACATTTGACAGTTCAGAAAAACTATCAAAGAATTTCATTGGCTAGCAATTTGAGGAACAACTTATTGTTACTTCATATTATTCGCTATAGTTATTTTATAGAATGTGATGGATACGAAAGTGCTGAAACAGACTCAACATAAACTGAAATATACTTCCAAATGACGACAGCAATGCATTTGCAATATGGACCATAGCAATACATAGCAAACAGTAGCATACATATTTACAGAAGTGATTCATACTCACAGAACGATAAACCAAAACCTTTTCTACAATCCTGTAATAGCCCCTCAAATTCCCTATTTATCAAAAGCACACTTTTTGTTGTCAAAACTAAAGTGCTCAGCAGACAAAAGATTCCACATAATCGACCGGGCCAGCCACGGGAAAAAGAGGCGTCCTGGCGGGATGAGTCAAAAGAAGCCCTCGTTCAGAAAGACTGGCAATGAATTTTCATCTATGTAACCGAACAGTTCGTGAATAGAGGATTTTGTTAACGAATTCGAATTTACGTTAAATAACATGTGTCATAAATTCCACGAAGCATTTACTGAAATGATGGAAGTTGAAAATGGACTTACTGAAACATTGCTACCAACGTTGCTCTTCAATTTAAAGTAAAGCGCACGATCTGATATGTTGCATAACAGCAGCTGGACACGAGCCATGTTTGGACGGTCAACAATTACGCGAAATGTAAGAACGGTTGCCTAGAACAGATTGTACAAAAGTAAGACAACATGGAAATTAAATTGTACACACCTTTATATTCCTCCTTACAGACCCTCCTGAAACCGGTGTTTGTGTCTTTTCTGATGCTAGCTTACCAGCAACACCAGTGGTAGCAGGAATGACATGCGTTGCTTTGTCGTCGGGAACCTGATCTGATAGGTGCTTTCCAAGATGAGCTGAAAATGACTACGTACGGGAGAATATCAACAGTGAGATGGCGTACATTAGATCTACTCTAAACATCTGTTAAACTGCCAAGGCCACACACACTCACCATAACATGCATAGTATGACCGTAAACACATAAGGAAAAAAATCATTAGTGAAACTGGGTTTACATAAAGTCCACATTAATTCGTTCCTATGCGGGCACACACTCAATTACAAGATACACAGTATCGTTTATAACCGCAAATATTAACAGAACAATCACCTAAGGATGACATGCTCTCATTTGACGTTCTTTACCATTCGCCACCTTAGCAACACCGACAATTTTCCCTTATGACAACAGTGCGATTCATTCGAACAACTTACAACCCGAATCGGACGTTTACGATTAAAAAGACGAGGATCAAATCCGGCTTTGACAATCTTGGTCGTTTACGTGCCGACATCAAACTAAGACGAAGAAGAAGTCGAGGCGTTCTATATGGACATGGAGAAGTTCTACAGAGAAGACCACTAATTCCTCAAGTTCATCATTGGAGATTTCAACGCCAAGTTTGGACCACGAAGAACGTCTGAAGAACTTCACATTGAGACCCACGGATTAGAATGGAACGAACAGGGTGAGCGGCTATCCCAGTTTAGCATGACGATCAAGACAATCCATGGTAACTCGCAATTCCAGAAGTCCCGCCCTCAACGCTGGACATGGGAATCTCCCAGTGGAGAGTACCATAACGAAATAGACCACATAATAGTAAATAGAAGGTTTTGCCTAACCGATGTCGCTGTTGTCCCAAAATTCTACACGGGATCAGACCACCCTCCCCTTCATGCAAGATTCTACTTCTCGCGGAAAGGAGAAAAAGCCACTAAATTTAAAAACCGAAGTCCCAGAACAACTACAAACTGGGACTTATTCAACTCATTAGTTGGCTCTCGGGAAGATGCCGTAGTCGATAAGATCGACGAAGAATACGATCGGCTCATTCAACATCTTCATGTTAGCGCTATGAAAGCTGATAGTTCGAAAGTCACCAAAAGACGTCTGTCTCCAGAAATACTCTGATACGCCAGCGTGGGATCGCACGAGCTGCAGGCAACCGTGAACTAACGTCTGAACTTGCAAAACAATACAGAGAGGCGATAAAAGAAGATCTTAGAGAGAGAAGAGCAGCAGTATTGGTCGAACCTGAAGAGGCTGGGAAAAGCATTCGCAAAACCCACCGAAGTTTCGCCAATTACCAAACCAAAATGATTGTTCTCCGGCGCCCAGACGGAAGAGTTACAGCTTCCAGAAAGGCAATGGAGAAAATCATTCACGAATTTTACCCGAATCTCTTCGATAGCCACGTCCACCTTCCGCAATATGAAATAAAGGAGAATGGATATGTTATACCACCGGTTCTCCTCTCCCAAATCCGGCACGCCATTTCGTCGGTGAAAAATCGAACAGCAGTAGGTCCGGACAGGATAAGACCGGAACACCTGAAGAACCTTCCTCCAGTCCTCGTAAACACAGTGGCTCTGCTCTTCACACGTTACCTGTCTGAATGCAAGGTCCCTACTCAGTGGAAGACCAGCAGGACCCTGTTATTGTTCAAAAAGGGTGACTTGCACGATATCGGCAACTATCACCCAATCTGCTTACTGTCTGTTGTCTACAAACTTTTCACTCGAGTCATCCTAAACAGGATTGACAGAACACTAGACGAAGAACAGCTATCTGAGCAAGCAGTGTTTCGAAGTGGATTTAGTACGATGGACCATATCCACACGGAAGCACGGCTCATTGAAGTATCGCGAGAGTATAAAAGACCGGTCTGCCTCACTTGCATCAATTTACAGAAGGCCTTTGACTCAACAGAGATAGAAGCGGTCGTGGGAGTCTTTGATAGTCAAGGAGTCCCTACTCAGTACATAAAGATTCTTCGTGAGCTGTACAAAATTTCACAACCAAAATATGACTATTCTACAACGATATTAACATTGACGTCAAAAGAGGAGCTAGGCAAGGCGATACCGTTTTGCCAAAATTATTTACCTCAACCCTCCAGAACGTCATGCGAACAATGGAATGGGATAACATGGGAGTGAAAATCGACGGTCGGCAGTTACACCATCTTCGCTTTGCTGATGACATCGTCCTTGCAACACCAAACATTAGCCAGGCGGAACCTATGCTTGACGACTTTGATAAAGCCCGTGGAAAGATTGTTCTTCGACTAAATCTCACAAAAACGATATTCATGAAGAACAGATTTGTTTCACATGCCCCATTCACGCTCAATGAAGCGAATATCTCGGAATGCTTCAGTTATATCATTCTAGGTTGGGAAATCAATATGATGAACGACCTAGCTCCAGAACTGAGCAGAAGGAAACGAGCGGCTTGGTGAGCTTTCAGAGGCATCGACGATGTAGTGAAGAGAGCAAAGAACACCCAACTCCGTGTTTACCTTTTGTCCTCCGCGATACTTCCTGCCCTAACGTATGCGTCAGAAACCTGGTCGTTGCGTAAGCAGGATAAAAGGCCACTCAGCAGAAAGGACGATGCTAGGAGTATCCCGTTCCACATTAATAAGCGATGGGATCCGAATCTCCGATCTCTGTCAACGATCAAAAATCAAAGATGCCGTTCTGTACGCCAAACAGTCGAAGATAAGGTGGGCCGGACACGTAATGCGTATGAATGAGAACCGATGGACAAGAGCCGTCAATGCTGGATTCCTCGAGACGTCAAACATACTGCAGGAAGACCACCGACCCCATGGTCAGAGTTCTTCACAAAATGCCTTGAAGAAAGATATGATGCTCGACGAGTCCCTAGAGCGAGCACAACCCACTGGGCTACCCTTGCACGTGACAGGGAAAAATGGAAGATTTAATGGCGCCCGCTCGAGTCACCCGACGATCAACGGGACTACAGGTGATATAAGTGATACAGGTGACAACAGCGAAATTGAAGATCTTTATTATCACACTAGAGACGAAGCTGGTTTCTCTACAGCAAGCAATATTTTCTGGACTTCTAAAATATTTCAAGAGTTCAGGACCTCATAGATTTACAGAAGAGATTCCGCTCTATCCTATTAGTCACAAATACCACACCGTGCTACTTCAAATTCAGTCGTGTTTAAAATTTAAACTTCCAGAAAGTTATCAACGAAATTCATGCTTCCAAAATTTCCAATAGAATAGCGAAATTTGCAAACGACATTTTGGAACACCACCGTGTCAAGTTAGAAGAAATTCCACTTGCTTATTCCCAATCATGGAAATGTGATCTTTGAATCAACTATGTGGACAATGTGCCCGTTTACAACTACAGAAAGTGAGGACTACACCGTCGTAAAACAGGAAAATTCCTACCCTCTAGGTAAAGAATGTCCTAAGAATTCCACACTTTTTTATGGGAACTGGTAGCGCAATATCAGTAATCCTGTCTATTACGCCCACCACCCAGCCTACGTAGGCACTAGTTCAATCGTGTGCCAAAGCCACCCCACCCCTTTGTCCTTCTGAGGTGGAGAAATTGGTAGCACAAAGAACATTCTGGGACAAGCTGACGGCCTCTAACTCACATGGAAACCGCAGCTATCTCATGATTCGATGGAGTATCGACTCGACCACAAAACAGTCCCAAGATCTTCACGGCTGATGGTCATGAGATAATGAAACGAATACAAGTTGTGCTGATATACGTACAGTGTGGTTCACATGAAGTCGGGTCAGGTAATAACAAGTACTAGTTTTCAAAGCAGTTAATGAAAACCGCTATGAAATCAGATATATTTATTTCAAGTTGAAAGTGGCTATTATTTTTGCATTATACGAGCCGTATATAACACATAGGATCGATCTCCGCGCCCCAGGGTCACCAAGCCCTTCATCCCACGGGATCCGCAAATTGGTGTCATACTTCCCTGGGAGGATAGGAGCACTGGCTCGATACATCGATAGGTCACCGCGAGACATTGTAAAGGACAGATATACATTCAGTCACCTCCGAACGATGCTTAATGAAGTCGAATGCATGGCGCGTCCCTCAGGGATTGATCAACGCCGAGAGCTTTATGAACGTTTCGTATGAGCAGAAAGTAATCAATATTCTTCCCCATCAAAAACTTAACCTTAATAGCCGCGTTCATAAAATCGCCGTGAACTTTGAAAACACTCCTATCTCTGGTGAGCCGTTCAGAGAGACTTGTCCGAGGCATCTCATGCGTCGTTTGAAGCTCCTCAGATATGCAACCAGTAATCTCTAACGATGATTAATGAAGTCAAATGCATGGTGCATCCTTCAGGAAATAATCAACCCCAACAGCTTTCCTCTTTTTATCCCTTTATGAAACCTATAAAGGTTATTTTGAGATTTAGGTTTGCAAAAACCTCAGAAAAAACCTTTCGTTAAAATGTTACATACATACGAATGTATATATGTATTTTACATATCTTCATATATGCGCATATACACGTGTGCATACATACTATATATATATATATATATATATATATATATAGGCAAAAGCTTTCGGCATTGATAAATCCTTGAGGTGTGTGCCATGCATCCGACTTCATTAAGCATCGCTGAAGATGAATGAATTCATATTTACCTTTTACAATGACTCGCCGTGGCCTACCGAGATATCGAGCCAGTCCTGCCATCCTCCTAGGCAAAACGTACTAATTTGCCGACCATGGGATCGATGTCACGTGTATTTCAGAGCGCCACCAACCACTGCACTACACGCGCTTTTTACATACCCATATTTACGTGTATTAATACATACACATTTTTATATATATGTTTGCATAGGTGCATGTATACAGCATGCTTATGTACAAATATATATATATATATGCATGTGTATATATACGTACATATATACATATATATATGTATGTGCATATACATGCCGATGAGATGGTTTTCTTCTATACACCTCATCTTGTAAACGGAACTGATGAACCATGAGTGATAAACAGCAAACAGTACTGCGAAAGAATCAGCAAACAGAATTGATCCATTTTAGGTGATTGATGAGGACTGCCGACAATATAGTCCTTGATAGCAACTTTCTGGGCCGATTCTAGCTACATTCAAAAGTGCATAGCGGACTCCGTCTGGAGAAAGCTAATTCATCATGCGCATTCAGTTTCAAGCCATGTTTCTGCTTTTCATCTTTATTAAACCGCTCAAAAAATATTGTCGATCATGGTTCAGAGAACACTGTAAGGCACATAATGAACTAGAAAAATAATATAAATAAAAACAGAAAAATCCAAATTGAAACAAAGCGTCTCAAAATAAGACCAAGTGATTTATAAATGAAAGCAGAATTTTCATTAAAAAAAATTTCCGCACTATTATTCGTCCCCGCACGCTTTACAAAAGACTCCTTTCAAAGCAAACCATATGCGAACTAACCATCAGCCATTAGTGTTAATGCTTCAATGCACAGATGGAAGAACTAACCTTCAGGGTCAGACATCAACGCTGATGTTTCAATGTACGGACCACTCAAGCAACGCAGCTTAGTAAGAATAACTCCAGAATTCAGATTATATCAAACTTCCCAAATCAGTAAATTTGATAGCGAAAACTTCACACACATCCATGGTTCATATCTACGAACGGTCGTATTCAATACAATACTCACCAAGAGAAGTTAGTAAGGACGCTATGAAATCCTAGAACATTTTTGGCACTTTGACTAGCTATCAACTATCAAAACGTTGGAATACAAGTTCTTTAATAAGACTCAGCATCACCGCTGCACCTCCCTTGACCCTCACTGTTGGTATACTTTATGCACATAAGGCTGAGTGCATACAACACTCGGTCACAATTTGCAAAACCGGAGAGATAATTACGTTGTTTTTTAACGCTTTAGTTGAATGATGAAATACAACGTTAAAGCCAATCACGTAACACGGGTTAAAACACGGATTAATATGTTTACTTATCATCACTCCCTCCCAATGGTTAACTGCCTCATTTTGGGTGGGAGGTGTTCCTGAGAGTTATACTGCGATGTACAGCGGGTGCGTGTATCCCCCTAGCAAAACCTCCCAAGCTGAGCAGTCCAACGTTACCGTCAGGAAGTCCAGCTAAGAGTAAACCAATACATGGATCCACCACCCTCCTCGTACGGCGAGTGCCTATGGTGGTGACGACCCGGAGCAAATTTGGCCTGGTTGACCTCGTAACTCCAGGGAACCACAACAGCTAAACCAGTAAAACTCCAGAAAAAAATTGAAATTACGCTGGGCCCGCACAACCAGTGGAAACGGGACGTCTGGCATCCAAGTACCCAAATAAGTACCATCACTACGGTTTGCAGGTCAAGTTGACTGCAATCTACACGGCCAAACATCTCCATAACCGAACAGAGAAAATGATGAACCAAAATTTCAATCACTTTGAACACAGAGTCTTTGCACACCCACCGCTTTCTATGAGTCTTCCACTAAATATGTCACGTGGAGATCAACCGCACAGAGTTCACACGGAAGCGTATTGTGCCCATCTCATCAAAATGACAGGCTTATATACTGCCCAATATCACGCGCGATAATGAAGTATTCCTACCTGCGGTTCATTTTCGGATTCTTGGAATTAATCCAGAACGGCTCTAGAGTTTTGAGCGAGGATCGTAACCCCTATTTCAAAACCTTCTCCGTTATGTCTCTGCGTCCAATGCGTGCCTAGTGGAGTATTTGGTTTACGTTTGCCGTCTAGGTGTTCTTTTATACGGACGCAGAGTGATCTACCCGTTTCGCCAACATATTCGTCTCCGCACGCTTAACAAGAGATCAGATAAACTGTACCCGAACTCATGCAGTTACCGTCTCTACCATTGCGGCAAACTATGCAATTTTGCGTTGCATATAGACGGTCATATAGGCGGTTACGAACTAGCCGGCGTCTTAGATTACTCGGTGGCATTTCAATTATCGTTACCGAATTCTCTAGACAGGCCCTTCTTAAATAGCGCTTTATAGCTGCACTTACTTCATTTGATTTGAAATGTAGTATAAACGGAAGCTTACTGTCGCTAGAGTTATCGCTGGGGTACCTGTGGTTTCCTCTATACCTATCTCGAGCTACAGTTGCGTAGCCATTAAAAATGGCTATTCGCCGTGCCAAGTTCCAGGACTCCTCTCTCTGCAGTCTTCCTGTGCACATGTTGGTTGCTGTTCGAAACATGTTTCTCACAAGCGCCCTTTTCGTGTGAGAGGGGTGAGAGAAGAGGTAATGAACCAAAATGTTTTACTACTTGGCTTTCGATACCATTTCGTAACGTAGCCGTTTTCTGATTGGTTAATTTGCACGTTCAGAAATGGAAGCCAGTTTTCTTTTGGTTTCTCTCGGATTACGATCCTCGCGCAAGAATCGAGAACATAAGCGCGCAATACTCTAGAAGCATTCTGGATTAATTCCAAGAATCCGAAAATGAACCGCAGGGAGGAATGCCTCATTATCACGCGTGATATTGGGCAGTATATAAGCCTGTTATTTTGATGAGATGGGCACAATACGATTCCGTGTGAACTCTGTGCGGTTGATCTCCACGTGACATATTTAGTGGGAGACTCATAGAACGCGGTGGTGTGCAAAGACTCTGTGTTCAAAGTGATTGAAATCTTGGTTTAGTAATATTTCATTCGAGGAGATGGCTCACTGAGGAAGACCAGACCCGACACGAAGGCGAAGCTGCCACGTCGAGACGAATAACAAGCGAGGACCATCGACTCGGATCATCGGCTCTGAGGAAGACAAAGACGTCGAAACATTAGCCGAAAATAAATATCATTATCAACCTCGCGTAAGCTCATCAAAGAAAGAATACATCTTGGTTTAGTACTTCCTCTGTTTGGTTATGGAGATGTTTGGGTGTGTTGATTACAGTCAACTTGACCTTTCTGGGCTCTGAGGAAGGCGAAATCCACCGAAACGCCAGCTTGTACGTAAATAAAGAAATCAAATAATACCTCATATTTGCCGAACAGACTGAACAGAAGCAGAAAGAATTATTCAATCAATGTCGAAGTTAATAGAAAGTCAGAAATGGGAGTTACTACGGTTTGCAATAAACACATCTCTTTACTTTATTTTTGTTGATCCTAAAGATTGCCTTTTCAATCACCAGTAAACAAAAACGAATCTAAATGTGCAGAAAACGGATCTACTTGAAATCTCCATACTTCGAAACGTTGGCCCATTACCTTGTTTATAACTGCAACAAACTGCCGAAATTTGACGTGATGGAACCACAACACTGAGCGGTGTCCAACGTGCAGAAGGAACCAACAGTGTTTTAATAGTTGAAAGACGCTCCACATAAGCTGTTGCGACGCAAGACGTTGGCAGAGCATAAATGCGCACGCCAAAGAGCCAAAGAACGTGGCAAAACGAGCCTGACAAAGGTCTAAATGACGTACACCAAAAGATAACGATTTGCGTGTGTGGGATCTAAGGACAAAAATAACGAAGGAACAACTCACAAGCGGTTCTAACTTCACTTTCGATAGATTTATTCCTCCATGGGACTGAAACATGTCCAGCTTCTTGACGATTTCCATTCTGACTCTGGATTTTATTTGGCTCATTGAAGGCGGCAGTATTGTCAGCATCACTGCCTTGGTCCATATGAGATTGAAATGCTGAGATGAAAAGCTCAAAATTTACAAAAAAAAATGATATAGTATGCCCTTTGCCACTACAAAAATTTTACTCAACTAATAAGATGTCAAGTTACAAGTTTATATCGAAAACTTTGGAAACCGACTGAACATCAGGGGAAATGCTCGCATAAAACTTTACAAAACAATGTTTCACATCTCTGATCTTTTACAACATCACTTTATGCCGCCAGTATTCAACAAAATATAGGCATTCTACATAATGAACAAATAGAGATCGAGAATGACACTTTGAGGGCTGGGAATATAAGGTTCGCTTCCCGAAGACTAGGTCTAGCAAAAAATGATACAGTAACAAAATTTCTAAGCAATAGCCGCCTTCAGATAACGTTTAATATTAGTTTTTATGTCCTTCCATACAAAACTTGGAGAAACGTTAGGAAACACCAATTCTGACAACGAATGATGCACCTTGATCTTATAATGATACCAACAGCTGGCTCACATTGGAGAAACAAAGTTTTGCTCTCGCTTGAAGATAATTCAATTGAGATTTACATCTTCTTTAAATGGTTAGAAGTGAATACGTACATTAATGGTTCACAGCCTCATCCACAAGTAATCGATGTTGCATAAGAAATGAACAGACAAAACCGGTCCATTCGGTTAAAGAGGAGATCGTCGCTATTTTTCACTACGTTGTAGTTACATTTAAAAATCAATGAGGACAAAGTTAATTTAGTCTGTACAGTGGTCCGCGACTTCACCGCTTGTATGGTCCCATCAATGAGATGACACAGAAGGAACAGAGGGCCTAATTTTTAGGTTTAAGGGTTCAACCGCAATCCATTCGCACTTTGGTGAGGAGTCAGCAATTTGTTGAACCCAAAACAATTTGGAGAATATCACAAGATTATTGTTCTCGGTGAAATATTGCCACTGCTATTAACAAATAGCGATAATTATCTCTTGCTGCAAATAATAATAGTAGTAAAACTGATTATAAAAATGATGAATGAAAATGTCAATTTTTATAGTAATAGTCTATGCATAGAAATTTGTCCCATTCAATCACGTAAATACAGACCACAAAAGAAATAATAAATGCTTAAAATAAAAAAAACTTGATACTCACCAACTTTCTAGGAGCTACGATCGTCGAACGTGAACCGCTCGCAGGAAAGTAATGAAGAACTGGTAAGCACCACAACACTGATAACTGATCAAACATGGTAAGATATGTAACTCGCTCAGCAAAATAAAATATTAACACTTGGGCATTCGAACAACAATATTTCCTATATACACCATCCACGTTCCATGTTACTCACAGTGTGATACCAATTCTGATTTTCTGAAGATTACCTGGTGATATCGGCCAATTTTTACGTGGGAATGCCGCCTAATAAGACCGTCAGTGGGCATGACATCAGAACATAGAAGTTTCAGTAAGGTGGATTTTCCCGCTCCATTCGGACCTACCAAAGCAACACGAGTGTCAAGATCAATACCAAAATCGATATTTCTGTAGATCCATGGCTGAAACCAAACCAGTGATTGAAAGTGCTTCAACAACAACTTGAATATAAATCAATAACAAACTAATAAATGGCACAGTTATGTAATGTAGCACGAGAATAATTTAGTTGTAGCTGTTTAAAAATGCAACAAGCAATAGTGACAGTAGCAGTTACAGATAATAGGATAAAAACTCATATCAATTGGCTAACCGTTGCATCGCTATAGCGAAATGACACATGTTGAACCATGATCACGGGAGGAGGAATATGTCCAGCATCGAAGAAGTAAAATTGTTTGACCTAAACGATTCAAAGCATGGATATACCTTAGTAAAAAGACACGGAAACACTTTAAGATAGACCAGAACTTTATGTCAGGTCTTGTTGAGAAATACGTGGATAAATAAATTAAATAAATCTCTACTTCTACTTATTCCAGATGTCACAGAAAGAACGAGACCTAAGAAGCACCACTGTAGCTCCCTGAACTGATATTCTCAAAAAAAAAACTCATATTAAACGTCTTCAAATAGAATGCATCATTAATAACACACCTATTAGCAATTTCAAAGCAAACAGAGGTAAACAGAAAACGACTAGATTTAAACATCCTCACAGAAATGGATCCGAAATAGGTAATAATTCTAATTCTACATTAGAAACTGCGAAAAAAGGTTAGGCAAGATGCCCTCCATAGCCAATTATGTCTTTTTCGAATGATCTGATAAACCTACTCAGTGATATGGTTAAATGCGAAAAGCAAAGAAATTGAGGAATACTTCGTTATAGGATACAGAGGCTCATAATATAGTATTAAACCGTGCTACCATACAATGCTTATCTAGAACTACGTGATATTCTCAAATCATTAGCAATAGCTAAATCCGAAAACAAAGTGTGATATAGGTAGTAGTGATGCTTAGCCTGACACACAAGTCATTATTGTGCACTTTCCCACTTTTAACACAGACACAAGTAATTAAGTGGTTTTTTGCCATCGTAGTTGACGTTCAACAACGATAATACCACTATCGGAATGTACCGCCTGAAGTCATAAAACGAAATCTTAGCAATCTCCATGACAGGACATATAATTCGTAGTAATAACTATCCCTTCAAATTTCATATTTTACGACTTGTTACTTACTCTTTAATAACAAAACTGGAATAGAACTAAGTCAATCCTTAAAGTAGTACGATCAATTGAAATGTGAAAAAGTGAATTTTGCTTCCAAATGGTCAAGTGTAAGAAGTGTGGTAAAATAAGGAAACTATGAGCAGAAGTATTTTAACGAAATCCACGCAGCAAAGGATGTGAAAGCTCAATAACTCACTTACACAACTGAAACACTCGAAAAGCAATAGTACAACGCGTCTATCTGCTCTCCGTTACGACTGGAAATGGTGCTCTCTAGTGTGACACCATGAAACACTTCCACGCTTTTCAGAAGCACAAACGGTGTAGGTTAAGATGGGAAATTTTCCTTACTTTACTTCTGCCCACAGAACCATCTTCGCTTCTAGTACTAAAATCACACAAAGAAGAAAGTCGGAGGCTACGAAATAAGAAACGGAGGTGATACACAAACCGATCTGAAGGACGTTTCATACATGTGCTGATGATGAGGAGAAGAGATACTCACAAACATTTCGAAGTGTACAAGAAGTAATATGTCGACCATTAAATCTAGGAAATAAGTTACACGAAGAAAGTAGAAGAAAAGATAGAAAGTACATTGTGCCAAAAAGCCAATTCATTGGTAAAGAAGACTTCACAGTTACAATAATATATACGAGAACAGAAAGGACTTACTGTTACTAAATGGCTTTTTTTCGTCCTCATTGTTTTACAGAGTAATGATGAACTTCAACACATATGATTCAGTTTTAAAGCGCTAACAAAACTTTATACGTGTAATAAAACACTAAATAAAACTTCAGACAATATGATAACATGTATTCAAAGAAATGTGTTACACAGAAGAGCTTTCCTCACAACTCAAAGTTTTTGAAACATTTCAAACTTCATTATTTTGAAGTTATCCTCTTATTTAATTGAAATTTAATGAACACTAACCACCAGTTCCTTCTACAAACCTCTAGATCGAAGTAAAACTTCACGTTTGAAACAAAATGAAACTGATATAAAACTTTGTGGACTTCAACATTACTTCAGCCTGCATGAAGCTACAGCAGCGATCGTAGAAATACAAGGAATTTAACAGAAAACCAACCGTCTCTGCCACAGCTTTCTCCGTTAATCCTCCAGCGATCATTTTTGCCATTGTTTTCTCCTTAGATTGAGCCTGTCGAGCAAGTTTTGCAGATCCGTGACCAAATCGAGCAACGTAGTCCTATCAAATCAATGTCGTCGAGAGATAAGGAAGACAAACAGCATTAAGATATAATACCGGCCATGCATTAAATAAAATGCATATGGTTCAGTACCAATGTTTCATCTCGACTTCAAGCCAACATATTTCAGCTCACACAGAATTTTTACCAATTGAAATAAAAATCATCAGAACATACAGATTGTCGCTTACAAAATCTTAGCTCTCTTATTTTAATAAGACGATTTCTTTTGGGATCAACAAGACGTAAATTTCACAACGTATAAGTTTTCTATCCATTGCCCATTCCTTTTTCACGACAGGGTGTTATGCGAAACGTAACCACAATGATGCTGGGATATATTTATTTATACGATCCTATAAACTGGTCTTTTTGAGCCGATGCGAGGTTTGTATATGGTATTGGGACTGGCCCACCCGTAACAGCACGGCTCTGAGCAAGGCGAAATCGTCGAAACATTAGCCATCGACAAACAATGCCAACAGCAACAACAACAACAACGACGACGACAACAACAACAACGACAACGAAGACCTACACCAACCTCGCATCGGCTCAAAAAGATCAGTTTGTAAGATCGTATAAATAAATATATCAACTATTTAAGCCGAGGTTTATAGAAAGTCGGCCTCTTGAGCTACTAAGAAATGATGAGATATTTGCAAAACTTCGGACCGCAGGTCGAGATCGAACCTGCTGTTATCCTTTTCGGGAACTAACATGTTTACCACCACACAATGTGGATCCTTCATTTCGCCTTTCTCTCATCCAGTTTTTCTACTTTAGGAATGCCATAAGCAATCATCTGTCAGTGGGAATGATCTGGTGTTGTGGTCAATGCGTTTGCCTCCGAGAAAGGTAACAGCGGGTTCGACCACCACCGCAGACACCTGCGGTACAGTTTAGGAAATATCTCAGCATCATTGTGAAACGTAAATTCTCAGTTTCTACCCTATTTTTACGACAGTTCATTTCGAACAAAAAAGCAATTGGATAAGTGGGATAACGTCCATCAGCACACGTTTGTATTTTCACATGCATCGTTGAGCTTCGTAGGTGCCGCTCCTTTGTTGGGAAATTCAGAAACTTAAATTTTGTTATCATTATTCAAGAATTCAAATTCCTAATGCAATTAAGATTAGAAGCAAGTTCTACAAAAAATATGTGAACGATTACTATCCATTACACTTTCGTTCTGCTGACGACATTCTATTCTTTCAGAGCAGGCACAGAACAAGCGAGAGTGCTTACTAAGCTAGAAAAAATGAGCTTAGAAGGAAGAAAATCCGATCCAAAAATGAACGCGTGGTTTGAAAGGGAATAGATTGAATAGATCATGTGGACGGATCATCAAATAAGAAGGCCGTATCCTACATATATGTAACATTTTGGAGAGCTTGCAAAACGACTTGAGCCGAGAACTCAGTAGAATACGACGATACCTAAGTGTTCAGTTATTTAAAAAACGGTTCTTCCAGTTTTGTGGCACGGTGCAAAAACATCGGCTAACAGTTCAGCCATGTCAATGAGATGACATACAATACGTTGGCCACTCAAGGGACAACTTCTGTAGGAGAACCGACACACTCGAAATCAAGTCGGTTCTCCTAGTTCAGATAGACGCCGAATATCTCGTCCTCGTGCGCAAGCAGGATACATCTCAACATGTAAACGTTAATGGGTCGATCACATAATGAGAAGAATAGATTCCAAGAGAATAAGACGACCTCGAGGAAGAACAGCAAGAATATGAGCCAATATGCTCGTTACACGCGTAAGGCCGCTATGTTCACAGATAGAATCAACTTTCCGATTTTCAAATCGTAGCCGAAGCCATATGTGAATACGACAACCTTCATAGATCGCGAATGCCAGATAGCGAAGCGAATGGAAGAATTGTCGACGACCTCACGATACGTGAGGAATAGAATAGTCTGTACATAAATTTATGAAGTTTTTAACTCTTCAAATAGATTAACGATCTCGATATGTCGAAATTGTTATTTTCGAAGAACAAGCATCGAGAACTGTGTAAAATAAGAAAATAAAAGTAAAGTGAAAACATTAAAATAGTATTAAACGTGTAGAGAGGAAAATTCGTGCAACCTTTCTTTCACAAAGCAAAATCTAGGAAACCTTCATGTGCTGGAGTTGAGCTTGTTCCCAATTATACCTCTTCATTTGGTTTTCCAACAGCTCTATTCGAGTTTTGACAAATTGATCATAGTTGCCCTAAACGATAATGAATACTACGTCTTACAATTACTTTAAAATAGCAGACAGCTTACCGTATAGTAGACTAGTTTCTTTTGGAAAAGGTGGATAATATTCGTACAAACACCATTCATAAAATCTTGTGAATGAGAGACAATCAGGAGCGTTCTCTTATATTTACTAAGTTCGCCTTCCAACCATACACAAGCTTCGAGATCAAGGTGATTCGTCGGTTCGTCAAGAAGTAGTAAAGATGGCTTTAGGTAAAGAGCACGAGCCAACGCAATTCTCATTCTCCAACCACCTGAAACTACGATCCGAAAGGCACAAAAATAAACCAGAAAGAAAAACTCGAACCTGAAAAATCCTTGCATTTCTTCATTTGCATTGTCTTGGTGAAGCCAAGACCGTGGAGAATTTCGGCAGCTCTTTTCTCAGCGAGCTCGGCATCCATCTCATCTAGCCTATCATAAATGTCCATCAGCTTTTCCTGACTTTCTGAAGAGAAGAAGAACAATAAACCACTAACGATTCAGGCAATTATGAAATCCTACCGTCATCCTCATTTCCTGCAAGCTCCTCAGCAAGCTGCTCAAGTTGTTTTCGTTCACTATCAACATCTACTACAGCTTGCAGAGCGGTAGTATTAGAAGCAGGCATTTCACGCGAAACCTAAAGCAAATGTAGGGTCATGATGTGAGGGCAGAAAAAATGAGAACACGATGTGGTGTGTTTCTTAAACCTGAATATGACAACAATCTTCAAAATCTTAGACAACCAGATGTCAAAACAAGGTACTCTCTTCCTGCATCAATAAAAGTACGAAAAAGATAAGGATGTAAACACACGAGATACATGTCGACGCACTCAGGAATCGGGAGTTCTCGGTTAACAATGGCATGCATGATAGTCGACTTCCCTAAAAGTGCTGGAAAACATGGAGGCACTGTTATTCAACAGGACTTACCACTCCCATTGAGTCCAATCAAGCCATAACGTCTCCCACGATTCAGTTCGAGCTTTGTATCCACAACAATTTCTTTTCCGTGGAAGGTAATCTGAAACTTTCAAGGAGGGACATCTCAAGGAAAAAAATGGACTCCCACTCGAATAAAACAAATTAAAAAGTTGATTAAAAAATTGTACTTATAACAATTACTTAGACATATTCAGCTCAAAACAAGCAAACGTCTCGGACATATTCACTTCAAAACAAGAAGCAAACGCATCACCAAATAGACTTTATCACTAGACAATTACAAATACAACTTTATGGTTGATAGACAACTGGCTGAGAGAGGCGAAACGAAGGACCCGCATAGCATGGTGGTAAACGCGTTTGCCTTTGGAAAGTGTAAAAGCACGTTCGATCCCCATCACAGACACCCGCGGCCAGGAGTTTTGCAAATATCTCAGCATTATTGTGCTTTTAATACACCCTTAGTTCTCGAAGAAGTGATTTGAAAAAGAAAAAAATACATTTAAGACTATGAAAGGTAAGCAAACGAATTAAGGTAAGGAAACACTGCTTACCGTCAAGCTTTCCACTTTATGGTCGAGACCTTTGGGATTTGATGTTAAAGCTCCAGCAACTGAACGAGCTTGGGCGTTTTCGAGTTCAATCTGCTGAAGAGTTTCAGCAGCTGCGTCAACCAAACCTAGACTAAAAACTTCTAAGATGCTCCGAGAATCGATCGCTGACACACATGTAAAACATAGTGAATGAAAACCATTAGAGATGAACTAAGGACAAATAATTCGATGTTTTTCCTTCAATAAGGCGGCGAGAGTAAACGCCCGTGTATTACTCTGTGCGGCTGCTATCCACCAACTAACTTAAATACTTACAACAAATAAACGGTAGGTGTTTAAATAAACCTGTTTCTTATGCGAATACAAATTTATTTGTTAAGTTTTATCTGCCGGGGTTATGAAAGTGTTTGGCTAGGTAGATCGCATCTCAATTTGATCTCTCCAGGCTCTGAAGAAGGCGAAACCGCCGAAACGTCAGCTATGGTATCCTAATAAATTCTATAATAACAACCTCGTGTCTGCTTATTGAAGAAAAACATCGAATTATCAATCAATGCCGAGGTTAAAAGGAAGTTGGTTATGGGAATTGCTACGTAAGGACAGATACTTTACAGAACACGTACCATCAACATCGTTTCCAGTTGAAGGCAATTCACCAGAAATATCTGGAACACCACCTCCGCCGATATCACCTTTGGGTTCGATGTTTGCGGCAGGATCATCCTTTTCTCCAACTTTCCTACTGCGATTGTTTTTTTGTTGTTTTGCTGCAATCTTTCTAGCGGCATCTCTTGCTTTCTTGGCATCCGATGGCATTCTTAATACAACACACTGCTAAAAAAGAAAGCCATTTGAACAACCATCTTAGCTTGAGGACCAAAATAAACAAATGACTAGGAAATAGGAAGAAAATTACTGCAGGCAGCAATTTAGGGCAGAGACACTTCGTTCCTGAGGAGAGGGACTAAACAGAACATTTAAAACACTTATTCCACGACATCTAAAAGAGTGTAAAAAGAATTTAAATGAGCGGACTTGGCGGTTTTCGTCTTGGGACCAACAACTGTGCAACATTTGGAATGGCCACGGGTGGGTGGGACGATCATGCAGCGCAGTTCCTTACTATCGAGGGGGGACGTCCACCGACCAGGCGTATTACCCACTGCACTATGCCAAAGGAATTCGACGTGAAAAAGTTCTTTATCGACCTGGCCTCTGGAGGTAATTTTAGGATATATTTCTGTTTTCCTACCTGGAAATGTAGCTTTGAGGACGTTCTTATTCGTGACTAACTTAAATGAGTTAAGGTACCGCTGCTGCCATCTCCAAAACCGCAGTCGCACCCATTGAGCGTGTGAAACTTCTTCTACAGGTAGTACAAGATGACATATTTCAGTACTTCAGTCTTATACCTACGTACGGGTCGTATGTATTCTAGGTCCAAGATGCATCAAGCACGATCGCCGTCGACAAGCGCTACAAGGGCATTGTTGATGTTCTCGTTCGTGTCCCTAAAGAACAGGGTTTCACTGCTTTGTGGAGAGGAAACCTCGCTAACGTCATCCGGTACTTCCCTACTCAGGCGTTGAATTTCGCTTTCAAGGATACGTACAAGAAAATGTTCCTCGAGGGTCTTGATAAAAAGAAGGATTTCTGGAAATTCTTTGCTGGAAACTTGGCGTCTGGTGGGGCTGCAGGAGCGACATCGCTGTGCTTTGTGTACCCCCTTGATTTTGCTCGTACCCGCCTTGCTGCTGACGTTGGAAAAGGGGCAAATCGAGAGTTCAAAGGGCTGGTTGACTGCTTAATCAAAGTTGCCAAGTCTGACGGACCCATCGGAATGTACCGTGGATTCTTTGTATCAGTGCAGGGTATCATAATCTACCGTGCAGCTTATTTTGGACTGTTCGATACGGCTAAGATTGTGTTGGCAACTGATGGAAATCTCAACTTCTTCATAGCATGGGCGATTGCACAGGTAAACTGCAGATTTATATTTGATATATGTGAACAGTATCTTTGTAATTCAGGTTGTCACTGTTGGATCTGGAATCCTTTCATATCCTTGGGACACCGTTCGCCGACGTATGATGATGCAGTCTGGCCGGAAAGATGTGCTGTATAAGAACACGCTTGATTGTGCGAAGAAGATTATCCAGAACGAAGGGGTAGCAGCTATGTTCAAGGGTGCCTTATCCAATGTTTTCCGTGGAACAGGAGGAGCCTTAGTGTTGGCCATATACGATGAGATCCAGAAGTTCCTGTAGATCAACTTAGCATTTTCTTACTGTCAGGTTCGAATTCGTAATTTTGAATGTTGTTATAGTGCTGTTTGACCCACCTTCGTTACAATCAGTTCCTATTATTGTGTGGCATAGTGGGTAGGGTAGGTACAGAGCTCGGTGTTGTTGCAATGATACAACCATAAAAATTAGCACTATTTCTTGTATTACGGTGATCCCCTGGAAGACGTTGCTTTCCAGATCTGGGTTTACTGCAGCCCGGTAGTCCCTAGGTACAGTTTTTTTATGGCTTCTCGATTCTTACTTTACTCATTACTCCACATTTATGAGACTGTTTTAGCAATAAATGGTTTATAGAAAGGTATGCCTCAAAATAACAGAACTTCGTGTTGAACTCCACCGTAGAGTTCATATAAGTTACACATATCGGTCACTAAGTAACTATGCCGTCGAATTTGTTGTTAAGTCTCGTGTTAAGTGTTTTATGTCCCTAACTAGGTTTTCCAACGCTGTGCATTGTGAGCTGACGACTACCTTTGTAAAGCACATGGACTGTCACGCAGTTTTTCTTTCCCTGTTGTAGAGCTATATGACTCACCCAAAATGCCCATGCGAATGCATCTTCATGGTATGGTTTGTGGTTACACGAAGGGTAAGTAATATCGACGTAGAGATGAAAGTTGACTAAATGTGCTTCATAATAGTTTTTCTTTAATCGATTGCAGCTAAACTGCTAATTTACTTTGTCATTTACTTTCACTGGCAGAGTCGGTGGGTACAGGGAGGACGTACGAATAACTAGTGTACCGAAATTCTCTGATTAGGCAGTGGCTTACTGGTTAACTATGTGAAGTGTGTTTCATTACACTATTTGTTTGCAAACGAATAAGGTTCGAACTGGTTTAACTAGAGCTGAGCTGAAAAACCTCGGAAGGACGAGTAGCAATGGGTAACAGATGCCCCGCACGGTTTTTGAAATGGTTACATAGTGAAGAGTAGATAAAACCCACCAAATCTAATAAAACATTGTTTTGTAGGAGCGCAGCTGAGAAGAACATGGAAATGTACCATTACATGCTATAGAAGGGGATGTAGACTGTAGGGTTCAAATTGCAACGCCTCAGGCAGAATTGAATTATGCATATACTCTTGCAGAACAGAGATTGACCCAGACCATCAAAAAGAGGCCGAGAAGAATAAGTCTAAGGAGGAAGTAGATCTTACTAGATACCAGGAAGTTGCTCGACTTTTTTTTTCAATGTGCTAGAAATACTTCCACAAAGTGGTTGACTCATGGAGCTAAAGGTGATGACAGCTGAAGCTAGTGGCGTCTAAGTGATAAGAAAAGCTCTTGAAATAATAAGTCCAAGTTGGTTTCCGACTGAGGGATTGTTGACAGTTTTCAAAGCAGAAATCATTGAACGGGATATGAGTTTTCTCGATCAATAGTCTATGTTGGGTTATTTTCGCAAGAAGTGTTTGAACTCGAAGTCTTAAATGTCTTAACAATAACTATCCAGTACTAAGATATTTTTACATTTTACAATGATGCACTACATATTGCTCAGTGGAATGTCGTCATCGCAACGAAGTGACAATAGGTCGAATAACTGCTGCTACACTATAGGACTGCTCTCATAAAAAAAGCTGTAGGATGAGGCTCTCGGCGTTAATCTATTCCTGAGAGATGCACCATGCATTCGACTTCATTCAGCATCGTTGGAGGTGATTGAATGCATATCTTTACGATGACTTGCGGTGGCCTACCGATGTATCGAGCCAGTGCTGCTATCCTTCCAGACAAGTCTAGTACCAATTTGCCGACACCGGAGGGATGGAAGGCTTTGTGGGCCATGGACGTGAGGATCGATCCCATGTGTATGTTGCAGGGCGCCCCCGACCACTGCACCACACGTGCCATTTGGTCTCATATAGAATGTAACAGTATATGATGGATATCTGTGAATACAACAGGATCTTTAGGAGTCATGAACTTAACAAGAGATGGTCGTTATGTGAAGCAAAGGTTATTTTAGAGTTCTTAAAACGTTAAAGATTGCGTGTGACGTGTAGATGTACTGCTATTTCAAATATACAATAAGGAATAAAATACCGAGTTTAACATTGTTCTAAAACACATTAGACTTTAACCCACCCCGCCCCGTTTGGGCACTACATAGCGTCCATAGTGGCTTGTACCAAACAACCTTATGGGCACTACAGTGTCCACATTCAATTTAATGGGTCCCAGAGTATTTGTTTATCGTACTACGTATATTTATTCGATGGCTAGTGGGAAGCAGATCAACATTTAAAGGATGAGACCAGAAAAGTATTCTTTACATTTACTTACTTGATATTTGAATGGCCGTCCTCATTGGTTCTCACTGTTCACCACGACAGGCAGTTGCAGCCCTTGTGGATCAGAGGGAGATTTGCCACCATGCGACTTTGATACCAGGACGGTGGTGGATCCTGGTATTGGTTTACTCTTAGCCAGACTTCCTGTTGGAAACGCCGAACTCCATCTCAGCTTGGGAGACCCTGAAGTGGGGATGAATCCCCCGCTGTACATCGCAGTCCTACACCCAGTAACACCTCCCAGGCACGATGAGGCGGTAAACCGTTGGGAGGCTTTACATTGAATGATTTGCAAAAAGCTTTTTCTCAAAAAAACTTTATTGAGCGATAATCTGAGTGACAAGTTATTGCTGCTGCATTTTAGTCGCTATGGTTATTGTATCGTTGGAAGTGACTGAATGCATATATACGTATAAGGCGCGTGTAGCCCAGTGGTCGGAAGGGCCCTGTAACACACGTGGAATTGATCCCCGCGCCCATGGCCCATCACGCCTTCGATCACTCCGCGATCGGCAAATTGATACCAGACTTGTCTAGCAGGATAACAGCACTGGCTCGATACATTGGTAGGCCACCGCAAGTCATTGTAAATGCCAGATATGCATTCAATTGCCTCCAACGATATTTAATGAAGTCGAAATGCATGGCGCATCCCTCATGGATTGATCAACGCAGAGAGCTTTACCCTTTATTTATCCTTTACGATTATTGCATAGAATGTGGGGACACGAACATATCGAAATAGACTCAACATAAATTGCAAAATACTTCCAAATGCCGACGGCAACACATTTGCAACACGAGCCATAGTAACGCCTAGTAAATAGCAGTATGCTTACCATTGACACCCATAGAAAGATACAGCAAAGTCTTTTCTACACTCCTGTCATGCTCAAAACCCCTAAAGTCCTCTACTTCTTGAGAAAAGATTTTTCTTGTGAAAAAACCCAGCAAGTCCGTAGCCAACATTTGATTGGACCAGCCACGAAAAACTACGCCGTGGCGGGATGGGTTAACGATTTTGAAAACCATTAACAAATATAGGCTAGGGAATCTACCCATCCACTTCAGTTCAGTCGTGGTTATAGCGCTCGTTTATTGCAAAAGAAATATATTACCATAATGGATGAAAGGACTGTGTCAGTCAACGAGTTTCGAAGCAACGTCTAAGATGAATACACATGAGTATGAATAAGACGGATGTAGAGTAAGGAAAAGGATTGGAGTAGGAATTATCGGCTTCTCTACTAATCGTGGCAATAGCTTTTGTCACTACAAGCTGACGGAGAATCAGATAGTTCATATAAAAAGAAGCAGTATAGCAAGTCGAATTAGCAGTACGACTTAAGAATGGCAAGTATTCGTTACAGCATGGAGCACTTGTAAAAAAGGGAATGGAAAGTGGAAGAAACAACTTGGGTAACAGTTATAAGAAGAGCGACCGGCCTTAGAACTATCGAGGATGAAATAAACGAAGCCGGAGAGCACGAAACGATCGATCCATTGATCGATCCATGAACGATGCTGGACGCGCTAGTATGCCTTGCAAGAACGTGTCAGCTCATGTGCATGCCGATATGCGCGGGTTCCGTAGAACCTGTTCATGCACGAAATCTCGTGCAGCTATGGTTGAGAACGTCGCCAGGAGAACTACCAAAGTCGCATTGTTACTGTCGGCCGTTGTGGTTGTATCCACTCTTATGGCTGTGGATGGTACCGTTCCCTGGGAAGCAGCAATGTTGTTGTGTACAGTTACTTGTGACCCCCGCGTTGCAGACGAAGAATCCAGACATCCATCAAGTCAAAATAGCCAATACAAAATCGTTCATCGGAGAGAACCGGTGAATGTAGTGTTCTTTCCAAGCGAGCTACACATCCTCTTGCGCGCTGTACTCGAGTGAGCTGCTACGTGCCCGTATGAGTAGGGTTTGGTTCTTACTGGATCACTTTTTAGACAGATGGGCGTTCTGTGGTAATGTAAAAAGATGGAAAGTATGAATTGAGAAAGCGGATGTCTTGGTGATTTGTGGACACACAGATTGACACAATGACGGCAAATGAACTTGTTTCACTTGTGCTAGCGTTAGCCTTGATGTCTTCACCTTTTCTTTCCTGTGTTCTTTACCTACTAACTATTCAGAACATATTACGAGAACTTGTCGGAAGTCCACAGCTACAATCACGACCTAAATGGTATAAATATTCCTGTCGTCGTTTTTTGCCTATTGATGGCCGTCTGTTAACGGAAAGCTTACAAAGAAGTGTTTTAACGCTGCTTCAATATGCCAATGTATTCTATGAGAAGCAACCACAAAGGCCACTGCAGAACATATGACCCGCACGACGGCTGGATAAAACGTAAAGTAACTCGAGTCTATGCAATCCTTTACGCGCTCAGCCTCATCAAAGCAATGCTCACACGACGTCTTCTACAACCAGGTTTGCTTGTAGAATGCATAAGACCGTGTTTTATCGCAGAAGAACTGCGGTACATTTTGCACCGACTTCTTAGGTTGCTAATGTGAATTCGAATTTCTGTCATCGTGAGTCTAGACTAAACCTCTGGTACAGCTCGGTAACAAAGTCTTTGGCATAGAAATTCAATTGTATCTATGTGATGCCTTTTGCTTAGCCGTTTTTTTTCCCCACGAAAACCCTCGAAACGCGTGACAAGAGTAGTATACTATCTAGCTGGTTGTATCCACAAACAATCTTCCTTGGTTATTAGCTCTTGACTATTTCTGATCTTAAAGAACTGGCACACAAAGACCTTCTTAAAAGTATTGATTGTTCCACTGTTTGCAATAACTACGATAAATCATAGTTAACATGCACAAAAAGCGGATATTTCGTAATATTATTATCCATAGAAGGATAACGCAAAGTCTCCTCCATAATCCTGTTAAGATCCCAATTCCTCAAACTTGAATAATCAAATGACGACGCGTGTATCCTTGTGGTTATAGATGCCCAACAACAGTACACATGTGGTTATTGATTCAATCCCACCCCCGGGTCCAATAGCAGTTCTGTCGGTCCTGTGATCAGCGAATTGGTAGCAGAATTGTCTAAGAGAATACCAACACTGCCTTGACACGTCGGTAGGACACCGAAATTAATTATGTAGGCCAGATACGCATTCAGTCACCACTAACCATGCTTAGTGAAGTCGAATGCATGGCGCATTCCTCAGGGATTGATCACCTGTATCACTTATTTGATCGTCGAGTGACTCGGGCGGGCGCCAGTAAAACTTCAATTTTTCCCTGTCGCGCGCAGGAGTAGACCAGTGGGTTCTGCTCGCTCGAGCGATTCATCGAGCATCATATCTTTCTTCTAGGCTCTTCGTGTAGATCTCTGTCCATTGGGTCCTGCAGTACGTTTGACACCCCGAGGAATCCAGTCGCTAACGGCTCTTGTCCATCGGTTGACATTCATACGCATACGTGTCCGGCCCACCTTGTATTCAACTGTTTGGCATACAGAACGGCATCTTTGATTTTTGGTCGTTGACGCAGGTCGAAGCTTCGGACCCCATCCCTTACTTGTGTGGAACGGGATACTCCTGGCATCGTCCTTTCGACTGTGCGTTCGATAACGCTGAGTGACCTTTCATCCTGCTTACGCAGCGACCAGGTTTCTGACTCATACGTTAGGGAAGGAAGTACCGTCGAGTGGAAAAGGTGGGCACGGAGTCGGGTGTTCTTTGTTCTCTTTACTACATCCCCTATGGTCTTGAAAGCTCCCCAAGCCGCTCGTTTCCTTCTGCTCAACTCCAGCGCTAAGTCGTTTATCATGTAGACCTTCTGACCTAGACAGACGTAGGTGGAGTAGTCGGAGATATTTATTCCTTTGAGCGTGAATGGGCATAGGTAGCTAATCCGTAGCTCGTGAACAGGCATCTTGCATTCAGACAGGTAACGTGTGAAGAGCCGAGTCAATGCTTTTATGGGGACTGGCGGAAGGTTCTTCAAGCGTTCAGATCTTATTTTGTCCATGCCATGTGTTGTTCGATTCTTCACCTGCAAAATATCATCTCGGATCTCGAAGGGACCCTTTGGAGGACATGTCCATCTTCAATTTATATGAGGGCAGGAGGCCGTGGCGACTGAAGAGATCCGAGTAGTCATCGTGAAAAATTTTTTCAATCGCCTTTTTGGAGACCGTAACTGTTCCGTCTGGGTGTTAGAGTGCAATCACTTTAGTTTTGTAATTGGCGAAACTTCAGTGGCCTTTATGAGTGCTTCTCCACGCCTCTGCATTTTCGACCATAACTGCTGCTGTTCTCTCTTTAAGGTCTTCTTTCATGGCCTATCTGCATTGTTTTACAAGTTCGAACGTTAGTTTGCGGCTGCAGCTCGTCCGATTCCACGTTGATGTACAAGCTCGAGTATTTCTAGGAACAGCTTTCTGCTGGTGACTTTCGAACTCTCAGCTTTCACAGCGCTAACGTGAGGATGTTGAACGAGCCTATTTTGAGACGACGGCGACATTAGTTGGGCAAAACCTATTTACTATTGTGTAGTCTATTTCTTCTTGGTACTCGCCACTGAGACCCCCATGAACAGGGTTGAGACCGCAGCTTGTGGAATTGTAAGTTACCAAGAAATGTCTTGGTCTTCCTGTGAGTGCAGAGAGCCACTCAATCTGACCCTAATATTCCGCGAGTCTCCTGGATTCAGTCTTAGTGTTGAAAGCTTCGATGATGAAGTTATGGTTTTTTCGGATGAACGTCTCCAAGTCCATAGTGAACGTTTCGACTTCGTCTTCGCCATAGTTTAACATCGTTTAATAGACGACGAAGATTGTCAAAGTCTGTATCGATACACATCTCTTCAACCGTAAAGATCCTATTCGGGTTGTTAATTGTTAAAATGAATCGATGTTTATGGACAAACTCGTGTTGACGAGAACGCCGATACCGCCGACTCCTCTACTGTCGCATGTTCCGAGGAGCAGTTCTTCTTCGGTGTCATAGACGAGTTAAATGGGCGGCCTCTTACCTTCTCAGCATGGCTGGTGACGTCGTACAATATCCTTCTTGCCTGCATGCTCAAATCCCATATCAAGGACTCAGAAGCAAGTGTGTATGCGCTGTAGGTACAGATCGTCACCTTCATCCTTTGCAATTTAGGCAACCTTGAATGGCCTTGAGATGTTAGCACTGTCTCCGTCTGTGCACTACCTACTTGCCACCGTATCGGCGGCCCTTTAGGGCTCAAGGTAATGTGGCCTACTTATGTGCTTAGCGTTGGATACCCACATATAGCTTGTTGAGCTTTGAACGTGGGAGCCAGTATATTCACAGGTTTCTCGGAACTCTCTCCGAGTGAACGAGGAGCTTATTTGTTGGAAGCCACTCCTAATCGCCTCCTATGTGCTTTCCAGTCACTTGATTACAGGCTTTTGGCTGAACTGACTCGTCGAATACAAGTATCATAAACGAGAACACACCTACGTAGGCATACATGAATACATCCTCCTAGACACAAAGGATATGTGTCAATGGGCGCAGCGAAAACAGGGGATCCGTCCCCAACATCCACCTCTCTCTTAAGGAAACACAAGGTGGTTTTTGGTCCGCGATTATCCACTTGTCCGCCACCTGTAGATGAGCCACGTTACATTGCGACTAACCGGTATGAGATCCCTCTGTGATCCGTGGCAGGTTTAGCGCTGTCTTTCAGTAATAATGAAGAGTTTTTGGCGTTTATCAATTCCTATCCTCTTATTTGTATTTACGATTGGGACTGAGAAACGATAAAAATGCTTTATTATTCTTGATAGAAAACGCTATGGTCAAAGCATCAAAGCAACTTAACGAGAGGTAAAGATTTTTAAGACTAAACTTTTATACGAGGAAGTGCAAACATACGATTAACAGTTAGCAAATATGATTAAAAGCGTTGGGAAGGGTACTCATAGTGAACAAATTTTGCATCACATTGGAAAGAACTCCGAATGCAGTTCTTGCACATGATGAAGGTTAAATTATACTCTATCTTTTCTCTTTTAAAACAGATTTCTAGTTCTGGCTGTCTTTCCTGATCTAGGCTTCACTGTCATGATGCTTACGCGTGAAGCAACATCGAACACTAAGCATGAAAAAAATCAGTATTTTTTAAACTGACCATCATTTAACCTCCGAATTATTAATCAATACCCTGTTGGATTGTTGAGTTAACCTGAGACTGATAAAGACATTTATTCGCCTAATGTTCTGACGTCTTCGTCGTCCTCAGAGCCGATGGCCCCCAGTCGTTCTCTTCTCGATGTGGCGTCTGCGTCTAAGGACAGTCTTTTACTAGGTCTTCCCGCATCATCTGTATACAACAAGGGAAGCGTATTCTTATGACATGCTTAGCAACATCAGCATTGATTTAGCATCTTATGATTTTCAAGGAGGCGAAGTCTTTTTTTGCCTTGTAGAGTAGGTACACAGTGAAATTCACACATATTACAAGGATGCACGCTAAGCGAGATTGGGTGCGTGCGAAGGAATTAGGCGTAAGAATTAACCAAATTAGAAGTGATTAGGAAAGAATTGAGAACCTAGAACTAACAATGGAGGTCGATTTGTTCGTTGACCGAGGAAACTTTCTTGGTCTGAACCCAACGCTCTTCAAGTTAACCATCTCAATAGCTGGCGATTACTACCACTTCTTAAGAACAAAATTGTGATAACTAGGGTGAGATAGACATAATACTTACTTACTTGATACTTGAACGGCCCATCCTCACTGGTTGTGCGGGCCCCAGCATAATCTCCATTTTTCGGAGATTTGCTGGTTAAGCCACTGTGGTTCCCTGGAATCTCGAGGACCAGCCTAGCCAAAGTCTGCCCCAGGTCTTCACCACGACAGGATGTCGCAGTCCTAGTGGATTAGAGGGAGATTTGCCC